TCCTGTTCTGACCTGTTGGTACTGTCTATGATACGGACACCTGCGTAGAAATGCGGTTCCTCGTTGGGCTCAATTTCGTAATGGTTTTCTTGGTCCGGGCCGCTGGGTGATCGCTTCACAGGTAGTTCTAAAGTCATATCATCGAAATAAGGAAAATATAAGAATGGAATTCGTTTGACATTGTCAACATGAAAACAAAGAAACAAACGAAACGCGGAATGACGCAACAATTACATTATACAGAAGCATAATTGACAAATATCAAAGAAGCTGCTTGCCCAGTAATCTGGCTTGATGTCAGTGTCCTTAGAGTTATTTATCTTTTGTTTACATATTTGATTTGAATTTTTATTAGTAAACTGCATTCATATACATGAACATTTAAAAAAACTTCAAGTTCAGTCATGTGAATTTACATCTTTCAAATCATTTCAGCAATTTGAAGTGATAATTCTCTTATTTCTGTTAAAAACTAAAAATGTCGTTTAAACTTACTAACCGGGGAGTAATGCCCGGGTGCGTTATTTTTTTTTCTGCGGCACATATTGGGGTTAGGTACGTGTTGAGCCTATGGGAAAGTTTAGGGTTAGGGTTATGATTAGGGTTAGGGTTAGGGTTAAATCAAGACCTCTTTTTAAAAAAGCCCCAATCTGTGCCGCAGAAAAAAATGACGCTGCCCGGGTGAAGGTTACGGAACGACGCTTCCCTTTACGCCAGCTTGAGCACCATCTCCGTAGGGAGTGGTGACCTAGACAGCACACTGGAGTGCGACAAGACTCTAAACCTCACCGAGTCAACAGAATTGGGAACAGGCAGTGGAAAGGGATACGGTGCGACGAATGGGGGCGATGGAGATGCCCAAACCCTTTCTCCTCCTCGCGGTGATAGTGGAATCATGGAAGATAAAGAAGGGGGTGAGGAGGCAGTCAAAATCAGTAAAACGGAGTCTTCTTTGATTGAACGAAGCAGGCGTAGTTGAGAGAAGCATAATCAATGGAACTGATTAGAGCATCAAGCTTTGCTAAGTATCGGTGATATGTCTTCATTTATCAGCTATGTTTGACATAAAAGGAAGTAAAGTGTATTCTTTTTATTTTTCATAAATTCATGAAGGGGCAATGTTTTTCAGAAATGTAAAGGCCTGGTACTGATATAACTATTTGTGCGTGCATGTTTCAAAGCAAAGATAATGCCAAGCTAATGAAGTAAAAGGTGGTTAACATAAATGTGTCTAGTTATTTCATTTTATATTAAAATACCTTGAAATACCCATTCCTCTCTCTATCTCTGTCTCTTTTCCGCTTAATCTTTTTCTTTTTCTGTTTTTCTCTTTCTAAATATCTTCTTCTCACAATTCTCTCTCTCTTGATCTTCCCTTTTCTGTGCCTTTCTCTTTCTATTCTATCTATCTCCCTCTCACTATTTTCTCTCCCCCTCTCTCTCTCACTGTCCATTTTTTCAAGAACTGCTTGTGGGTTTTTTCATTTCCTCCTCTGTCTGTCTGTCTCTGTCTCTGTCTCTGTCTCTCTTATGTACTCCAACTTGCTTCCTCTGTCTTGAATATTACCATCATATCACTCTCTACCCCTTTGCCATCCAATATTCATACTTGCAGCTGCAATCAAGATAAATATGGACATTGTATTTAAGCATCTCAGGAGAGTTCTTATAATCAAAATGCTTTGTTCTTCTTCATTACTCAAGTATGACAACATTTCTTGTTCATTAGTATATGCATGTGGCAGGTTAAAGATGGATTTGTTGTATTTAATCATCAAACTTGATACGTGACAGGAATGAAAAGAAGGGAGAAGGGGCTGAGGAAAAGACCTTGATTTTATTTATTTCAACATAATCATAGAAAAATAACTACAAAACATCCTGCTCCTGATCTAGCTGTTATTATATAGACAGCCCATGAAATTATCAAGGTAGGTCTCTTGCAACTCAGAATTTGTCAGAATGCACATATTAGACTGACATTCCGGTTTTGTGAATCCTCGAGTAATTTTTCAGAAGACCATGCAGAATGCCGGAGTGTTCATTATGGTGTAAGCTATATTCAACACATGTACATGTTGTATATAATATGAGCCAAAAATGTGTTTTCTTTTCTGTTATTGAAGAAAAAAAATATAGAAACGAATTAAAATATACATGTATATACAGAAATCAATGCGTATATAGACTTTTTGTTACAGAAAAAGTTTTATTAATGTAGGGAAAAGGGTCTGACTATCAAATGTGATAAGGACTCTAATGTGATAAATATCATATTGATCTAGTATCTCATGAGTCGTGAATCTGTCTGGTTGCAAGGGACATCAATTGAAGCGGCACAACAGGGGTGCCGATATTGCCACAATTAATATTCCAAAACAAATCCCAGTACTTCTATTGCCCTTGTAAAGAGTTTAAATATTAACTTGTTCGCACACACAATGGTTGGATTTGCATTTTGTCTTGCAAACCCGGCATGTCATCTTAAAGACAACAAAATAATGTCGTACCGGCTATTTGTCAAATCAAATGGGGCGTGGCCTGGGCCACGTATTTAATACGGCTTAATTTTAAAGAAAATAATTATAAACACCTAAACTTCTTATACCATTGCGTTTATAATACTCTTAAAACGAATGAAGAGTCATAACTCCGAAAGCATAGAGTATTGCGTCAAAGAGGTGGGAGTGGGGAATGACTTACAAATAATTTCTGATTTTTTTTTTTACTTCCTGTACTGGAATCCCTCATGCAGACCAGTGATTTACCCCTAGATTTTTTTCTCCGTTATTTTCATTATTACATTTTCTTTCTCTCAAAAGGGGGACCTTGGCAAAATCTTTTGCGTTATGATTCGCCTAAGCAGATGTGGTGACATGAAAATTCCATAACTCGCCTTTCTTTCTAAATTTGGACTGCTATTTCGAAATTAATCTATTATGTATTTAGATGCCATTTCAATGAGATAAAATAAAATGGAAAAAATGTGATGGCTATCCACTTAGTCCTAAAGCAACTAGAAATACTACAGCCTTGTCGAAAGATCAAATAATCAGATAACAACAGACTACAACATCTAGACAGGCCTCTGTATTTTTCTACATCATGTCTTTTACACAAAACTCATAAGTTGATTTGAGGGGCAGTCTGGAACTGAAAATTGGTTTTGAAAGTTGTATGTAACCAGCCCATTCAATACATATTAGATGCATATATAAAGTGGCCCTCAGACCCCAATTGACTGGACCTTGATAAGGCCAAACAAATAAAGAGCTGCTCATGGGGAAAATTCCCCAAACTCCACACGGCATCGAGTTACGGGACCATACTGCTATAGCTGACCTGAGATGGCGCTAGATGGGATTTTGCAGTGCTTCTAACAAATCGATGCATTTTTACTTTAATGGATGTGGGTATTATTATTATTAGTAGTATTATTAATTCTCTCTCGTGTACAGGTGGACAAACCGGAACAGGTTGCATGCAGTGTGTGTGTCGGCGTGAAGGGGGTATGATGAGATGGGTGGGCTAGGGGGGGGGGGGGTTAAGAGTTTGTGTGGTGTGAGTTGAGGGAACAGGTTGCATGCAGTGTGTGTTTGTGTTTGTATGTGTGTTTATGTGTGTGAAAGGTGGTGAAAGGTGGTGAAAGGTGGTGTGGGTGGGCTAGAGGGGAGGGGGGGGGGGGTGTGAGAGTGTTGTGATAGGATGGTAATATGTAATTTTAAACCTTCCTCTACTGTTATTTTGATTATTCACTGTTACATGCAAGACTTTTTTTTTCCTTTTTTTTTTCTCTATGTTCATTGATTGATGTAACTTATGAAATGTCTTGTATCAAAGATCTTGTTTTATATTGCTTATCTTGATAATTTCTTGTTATGTGAATTTCTTGTTATGTGAAATTGTGAGGAAGGAAATAAAATATCATTTAAAAAAAAAAAAAAAAAAAATATGACGAGGAATACAAAATAGCCTTCAAAAAGGGGAAACTGGGGATGCACTTACAGAAATGGGAACAAATCGATGCATTTTTACTTTAATGGATGTGGGTATTATTATTATTAGTAGTATTATTAATTCTCTCTCGTGTACAGGTGGACAAACCGGAACAGGTTGCATGCAGTGTGTGTGTCGGCGTGAAGGGGGTATGATGAGATGGGTGGGCTAGGGGGGGGGGGGGGGGGGGTTAAGAGTTTGTGTGGTGTGAGTTGAGGGAACAGGTTGCATGCAGTGTGTGTTTGTGTTTGTATGTGTGTTTATGTGTGTGAAAGGTGGTGAAAGGTGGTGAAAGGTGGTGTGGGTGGGCTAGAGGGGAGGGGGGGGGGTGTGAGAGTGTTGTGATAGGATGGTAATATGTAATTTTAAACCTTCCTCTACTGTTATTTTGATTATTCACTGTTACATGCAAGACTTTTTTTTTCCTTTTTTTTTTCTCTATGTTCATTGATTGATGTAACTTATGAAATGTCTTGTATCAAAGATCTTGTTTTATATTGCTTATCTTGATAATTTCTTGTTATGTGAATTTCTTGTTATGTGAAATTGTGAGGAAGGAAATAAAATATCATTTAAAAAAAAAATAAAAAAAAAAAAAAAAAAAAAAAAATACAGTATGGCTTTAAAGTTCAACTTTGCTTCGACTCTATACGGTAATGACACAATAATTATGCAATCAAACTCAATCCGTCTTGTAAGATCTGTACTAATAAACCTAATTATATCCTTGTTTATCACAGCTGTAATTCCTATCCTATCCAAAACCTTGATTTACAGGCCTAGCGCACCTTAAATCATATTCATTATAAAAAGAATGAAAAATATTAACACCAACAACAACAAAGATTATCTTAATAATAATAATAGCTCGTTCTTATATAGCGCTTTTCAAGTAATGGCCTATAATATTTTGACAAACTCGCTACGTTTATAATTTCACACAGAGCTCATGCTGTACAGTCAGACGCGTCTTTGTGGCCACCTTTCTATTAAGGCCCCCTGTTTGTAGTGGCCATGCATTTTTCTCTTTTGAGAAAGAAAAGTGTGTTGTAGAAGCTGTTTGCAGCTAGTGGCTATTTTGTGGGGGTTCCGTTGGGTTACCTTTGTAGACTGACAGGTTTGACTATATTAATCATGGAATCATTTTTAATGAAACGACTCGTACACCTGCTCAGTATTACCATCGACCTCTCCCAAGTTTGATTTCTGCACTCTATCTGTTTGCTTCACTATTGTTTGATTTTCATATTCTACCCCCTCAATTGCTTTCGTATGGCCTCTATTTCCGTCTCTAGTTGCTTTGATATCCTCGTAGGTTGGTTGATTCATAATTGTTGCATCTAAGGACGTGTAGGGATCGAGTTCCTGGCCCTCTCTGCAACTGACTGACTGCTCTTGAGCAGTGTTGGGTCCATGTTTAGAGCGTCTGAAATAAAGGAAAGAAAGACTATCGGTGAAATGTAACATTGTATTGTTTTCAATATTGTTATCAATATTGTTACTATTATAATTATTATGATTTATATTATTATTATCATTATTACCAGTATTATCATTCTCAATATTGTTATTATTATCATTACTTTAATTATTATTACAATTTATATCATGATGATGATTATCATAATAATTATCATTATTATTATTATCATCAATATTAATATTAATATTATCATTTTCATTCATGTCATTATCGATACTATCATTATTATCGATGTAAGTCTTTTTTTTATAATGAATATGATGATGATATTAAAATTTTTATTGTCGCTGTTATTATTGTTATCACCTTTATCATCATCATCATCATCATCATCATTGACCATAGGCCCTCCGCCGCTACTTTTGACTGTGTGTTTACGTGGGTGTGTGTGTGTGTGTGAGGGTGTGTGCGTGTGTGTTTGTGAGGGGGGTAAGTGTGGATGCTCTATAAGTGGCGGGTGCCAAAGGGTAGGGCTGGGTGAGAGGTCACCTTTAACTCACCTGAGATGCAGGTACATCAATGTAATGATAATACCATACAAGGCAACAAAAGCCAGCAATATGCCCACAGCGATAATGCTGGCCACTATTGGGGAAGAAAAATATCAAATAATGAATTTACAGACAATGTACAAGCTACAAATCACAATACACAAACATCATAATTTTACATAATCCTCATAAACAGTAAACCCATACGGAAACCTATAGAATCGTGGCAATTTCTTTCATTTACTCTTATTATTATGAATGTTCATCTTTGAAATATTTTTCTACAATCTCGTTGTAAATGCTAGGGGCCCATTCTAACCAGTTTTATGACTATACCTTTCATATTATTTCACAAAATGAAAAGCATAATCATGAATCCTACGAATTAAGGATCACATTTGAAAACAATCAATTATGACGATAGCTTAGTTTTACTTCATTATTTTGCTTTGATATTGTTTTAGTTGTTCTAGTCTTGTTAATATCCAATGCGGCTTTCCAATTTTTGCCTACTGGAATTGAGGGAATGATGCATAATTATTAAAATCATAATCAAATGTGTAGTCGAACTTTTTTATTAGACAAACAAAATAGTTCCAAGGAAATTAGTTATAATATCAGGGCTAATAAGACAATAAATTGTTTATCACATATTTCATTATTGTTTCTAGTCACTGACATATAAAACCCAAATAAAGAATGATTTTAGAAATCAAAGCATTACAATTCTGCCTTATTTTTGAAATTATTTTTGTGACTCAAATCTTAAATCTTAAATGAATTTCATCACTACATTCTCATTATCAAAAAACGGTATCACCATCCCACCATACACGACATTGTAGCAAATGTTGTAGATGTGAACGTTTCTTTTTATCGTTTGCCGTCTAGCATGTCGTGTGTCGTGTTTGGTGTGCAGACTCAGACGGTCCCCGGTTCGAAAGTGAGTCACGTCATTTGGATGGTTACAAATCGTTAATAATCATACAGTTCTGGTTAATACATGACTGTAAAAAGAAAACAATTAGGCCTACACACATACACACACCGCACGCACACGAGATTTTGAGTTTAATAAAAGCAGATATGAGCGAGAACCAACTCAGTACAGCTTCGAGGACAATCCGATAAAAAAATTAAAAAGTTAATATTTTTCATATTTGCAGTCAAACACAAATTGCCTACTCAGTGACGTACCTTTCGAGGTAACACTTCTACTTCCTTCATACTTGTTGAAGGAATTGATTTAATTCACAAACGGGTTGTGTAAACAACATAATCATTTGTGCAACAGTTATATTGAGTGTAGATGTATGAATGAAAATATTCTTCAAAGGAAAATAGCAATTTATGATTATTTATGTTATATTTAGTAGGCTTACAAAGCAAATGGAAAAGGTTGTCCGTATGAGAACCAATTGCCTAGTTGTGTATGATCGAGCGCAATTACAAGACTTCATAACTTCCATATTCTTTCGTCAAACTATTTTTTCTTTTATTTAAACCATTTTAACACCAGGTCTACGGACTTCCATTTAACACCATGGCTTGATATTAACCTCAATAAGACCAATGTTTTGAAGAACATAAAACGGTATGGTTTTGATATAAGCTATAGAGTTGCTAACAAACAAAAAAAGTCTACCTGGAATAAGTCCGGTTCCTGTAGGGTTTCCTGTATTTCCAGAATCGGGTGGAAGACCGCTAGGTAGGGGTGGACCGGATGACGATGTGGTAAGAGTTCCTTCGCCCGGTAGACGAGGCGTTGGGACACTCGTTGCCGAGTTGTAACCCCTGCAGTATATGAAGCAAAATGATGATGAGAAGAACCTAATTTTTTTCTTCAATATTTGGTTAAAAGGGGCATTCTATAAAGTGATAGGAAGCCGTGAAAACGACGCACAGTGGGCCAGGGAGGAACCAAAGTGCGCCAAAACTAGTTTTTTGGGGGATTTCTCTTTTATAAATCCAGAGGATATGTTTGGATTTCCAGGGATTTCCGCTTAAATTTTATTACCAACATTTTCTCTGATATCTAAGCTTTAAGTTGATACCAGATTTGGCTGCCCGATTCTGCCCGTTATTATGTTAGAGCCGTTTTCCTTGCAACATTGCACTGAAAAATGTGTTGATTTTGGTCCGCGGTGTCAGAACGTGTGTCACGCGCCCCCACGCGCCGTGATTTATGACCGCGAATCCTTCATGATTCAGCCGCGTACCTAAAAAAAACAACACATTTTTCGGGGCGATGTGGCAAGGGAAATCGGCTCTAACATAAAAACGGGCAAGATCGGGCAGCCAAATGTGGTATCAACTTAAGTTTGACATCAGAGAAAATGGTAGTATTAAGATTGAAGCGGAATTCTGAGGAGATCTAAACATTTTCTTTGCATTTATAAAAAACATGGATAATTAGTCAATTTTTCAGTGAATTACCCTATAGTATATCATGAATATCATGAAGATTGTGTTTCTATCAATTTTAACCCATTCATGCAACGAAATAAACTATTAGGAATATGTGAGAGCAATTTCATATCAATAACTTAAAAACTACATGTTAAATTAAAAGATTTATAAAATAAGTCACTTTTGCACTAAAACTGTGAATATATAGGATTTTGCTGTTTAAAGGAGTAAATTTATACCCTTATTGTGCATACCGGAATTAAATATTTTACTGAGGTATTCCTTTCAACTGGGCAAGACAAAAGTTGGAGAAAAAAAATCACCAAAAATGACTTTTGGCGCACTTTGGTTCGTCCCTGGCCCACTGTGCGACGTGGCGACAATGGCATGACATTATTTGGACTTTTAAAAATGTATTCCTACAATATTATTGAAGATACCTATAATGATTTAATATCCGTCCTGTGGTACGAAATGAATTCTTTTTGTTAGTCCTGTATGAAAACTTAACATTTTTTCCCTTACTATTATAATATTCCATACTTTTCATAGAACTTTCATTTGTTTACCTTCTACATGCCAAACCAAATTATTGTTACAATCCTTTACAAGATTCTGAATCAATTTTTTTTTTTTTTTTTTTTTTTTTTTGGGGGGGGGGGGGCGGGGGCGTTATAGTTATTTATACGATGGTTGAAGCTTTAAGTATTAGCAGAAACAGAAAACATTGTGCTCTCATGCTCAAAGTAGGACAGTACGAGCTACAGTAGCTACTGTAACCATGGAAAGTACTAGAAATCATAAAGTTAAGATCATTAAGATTTTATCACCTAAACAGTCTGCATGGTAGGATTATTCTGCTGCCAATGCCATCCTAAACTCGATAATCTCGATAATGACGAAGCACCTATTACAACTTTGTATACGTGTATATAGACATAATATAACCCCCCCCCCCCCAACAAAACAAAACCAAATAAACTTGAAAGGCCTTTTAAGAAAATGTATAAATTAAGTCCCCATTAAAAAAAAAAATCAAATAATTCATTTAGTACCTTTTGCATATACTGCAGCTTTCTTCTGGGGGTGCAGACGCACATAGTTGAGCGTAATAAAACAGAGGAAGATGACAAGACACATTGAAGTGTACGCTGATTTTTTTTCTTATGAAAGAGATAGATAAATATTTCTTTTTATAAAAAACAAACATGTAGCATAAATACAAACCAACTGCACACACACCCTTGAATTGACCATCATAGTACAATTGTGTTAATGCAATATTTTTAATCGAATCAAATGATGATCAATCTAATATTCTCATCAACTGAAAAAAATGGTGTGAAGACAAAATCAGGAAACATACGATTAGAATAGAAGGGAATACACTGACAATGTATAGAGCTTCAAATGTGAATGAAATATAAAATACATATTCTAAACATATACAGTATACATGTATTTGAACTGTTATTGTAGATATTATCCTATTTGCATTGTTTCTGTCTGTTTCAAATAATTTTGTTATACATTTAACTCATACAGTGAGAATCAAATTGTCATACAGGCAATTAAGGCAGCTAAAGTATGTAGAAATCTCGGGGTTACTTTTGATAACAAGCTTACTTTTGAAAATTCTGTCACACAAAAGTGTCGCACAGCTTTATTTGCACTACACAAAATCGGAGAAATTCGTAATGTTATTAATACGTTTGGTTAATGCTTTTGTTATGTGCCATTTTGATTTTTGTAATAGTCTCCTTTTTCGGTTACCACTTTACAGATTACAGACCATCCCAAATTCAGCAGCGCGGCTAGTAACACGTATTAAGAAACATGATTCAATATCCCCTGTCTTTACGAAATTTATATTGGTTACCAGTCCAGTCTTGCATCCAAATTAAAATATTGTTATTAGCTTATGAATGTTTTTTATGAATTTATAGCTCCCTCTCATTTAAAAAAATTACTTTTTAATCGTATATAAACCAGTAAGAAATCTCAACGATCATGTAAAAAGAATCTATTTTTTTGTTCCTCCTATTTTGACAAAACGTAATTATGGTGAACGTTCATTTGCTCATGCTGCCCAAGTTTTATGGAATAGCCTCCCAGATTAACTTAGAAACATTGACACAATAGATTTAGTTTAACTCCACCCTGAAAACATATTTATTTCAATTGTTGTAAACAAGTAAAAGGAATTCAGTATCCTATTTTTTCTCTTTGCTTTTCTTTCTAAGCGCATAAGGACATACGTTGTAATGTGTTATGCGCTTTATCAAATGGATTGTTATTAAAACAATTCCTTCCTTTTAAAATGAACATAACACACCACTTATAACTGTTCATCTTGGACATTACTTATTGCGTATGCTGTGGAAATATATAGGTCCTGCAACAGGTGACATGTACCCTTCAAAGTGTGATCTATTCCACACACCTATCCTAATAATATAACATTCGGGGGCTATGACCACAAATAAACCCATAATATTTTGAATGGCAAGATAACCACAAAAATGAAACAAGAACAGGTGAGAAAAAAGTTTGAATAGTAATTTATAATAATTTTGTCAACTAGATTTGACATTTGTTTGCCTACCCGATATACAAAGACAAAGGATCATCATCCCCCGCACCTCCTTCTCCGAAACACTCCCCACAGGTTGAGTACCGTGCACAGTCAGCCACTGGCAATCTGTAAAGCTACCAGAAACCACAATAGAGAAGGGATATTGGGTTACTTTCAGAGTGGCACTCCTGCATGCCCAGCCATGCTCAAGTTCAGTATGGAGAAAAGAAAACTCTCAGTTTTATATATTCTGATACATGTACTAATATTTGTACATTCTTGGGACAAACACATTTTCCAAAAATGTTTACAACTTTGTACTTTTTCTACATAAGTGTTTTTTACAGGATTGTTTTGACATATATGGCATTTGGTAATTATTTGGAGTTACAAAAAACAAAACATGCTGAATCCTGATAAATAATCTTTGCATGTAGTCTGACGTGTAGAATTAATGACAAAGGGAACTACTGTACTTGCAAAAAAAGGTCTCATCAAATTGTAATTATTATACGTTTACATGACTGTATATTTGTTTGCCCAGTAAGATACACTAAAGTTTCTATGAAAAATTGTTGAGCATTTTCATTTTTGTTTTCTCCAAAGAAACCTCATAATTTTCTTTTCCAGCTGGACTTTAAACGTTATAAATGAGGCAGCTGCTCCATATTCACACATGATTTAGCCTTTCTCATAAGCCAATAAGTTAGAGTTACATGTATTCAAATTCCTTCCACACTTCTGCCACGTGTTTCAGGTCTACAATCAGATTTCAGGTCTACAATCCCTCTCTGACAGAAGGGAACATCTTTGCCCAAGGTTCGCAGAATCGCTCTACAAGCACTTTCGTGACTGGCTTCCAGAGATGCAGAGCACGAATCGACGATTTAGATACAGTGAAAGATTGAGAGACTTTAAATGCCGAACAGAAAGACTGAGAAATAGCACTCTTCCTTACTTGGTAAGGACTCTGAACGAACATTTTTTCTGATGCTAATAATTTTGTATGTCTGATACTCACTCTGTTGTAATGTAGAGTGTAATGCACTCCTTGTGGGAAGTATTTGCCAGTAATCGTGCAATAGGTATTTAATCATTGAAATTTGTTAATCAATTTTCAATCATTTCATATTCAATTGTGAATTAAAATTTATATTAATATCATTGAATTTTAAAGAACGAGCAATACTTGAATATGAATGAAATCACACCGATCACCTAGTATTTAGCCAGTGCAATATGTGTATTTTAATTTTTTTAAATTATCAACAAATTTCAATATTCTTCGCGAATTTTCAATGTAATTCACTTTATTTCTTAATCCATCATGAAATTCAATTCCAATATTTTCGATATGTTTTACCAATGACATAAAATCAACCCTTCGGCATGCCAAATTCGTAATTTATGGTTTTAATGATTAATTTCAATAGTTTGTTTTTAGAATGTTTCGGTTAAGATTGTCTTGCTTATTAATTGAAATTAATGATAGTTGCCATAATAATTGTCAGTTGATCACTTTTATTTGAATTTCAATGTTGATTGCCTAGACTGTTTTAATATATTATTGTATAATTGTTTTTATCATGTATATACATTGTAAACTGTTGTAACCATTGCAATTCAGTCTTTGGACTGCGAGAATGGATAATTATCAATAAAATCCTTCAATCAATCATGTTTCTTGTCAAGACTAAAAAAACACCATGGCGTGCCTGTCATCATGAAAACTCATCTACTCTATTACGTATCCGGACACCTACCCCCTGGACATCCACCCCCGGATAACCACCCCCAGTCAACTGCCCCCTAGGACAACTACATCTTTGGGCAACAACCCTCTGGGGCGACTACCACCCGGGACAACAACCCTTCCCCCGGACAACTAACCCTCAGTAGACTATCCCCTAGGACAACTATCCCCTATGATAGTTGTCCGGCGGGTAGTTGTCCTAGAGGATGGTTTTCGTAGGGGGTAGTTGTCCCGGGGGTAGTTGTCTGGGTGGTAGTTGGCCGGGGGTAGTTGTCCTAGGGGGTAGTTGTCCGGGGGTGGTTGTCTGGGGGTAGTTATCCTAGGGGGTAGCACTGAGAGGTGGTTCCTAGGGGGTAGTTGTCCTAGGGGTAGTTGTCCTAGGGATAGTTAACTGGGTGTGGTTATCCGGGGGTGGATAACCAGGGGGAAGGTGTTCTAGAACCACTCTATTATGCAATCATATCCATAAAACAAAAATGTGATCACTATCTCTTCATCATATTGTCTCGTGAAAAGAATTTGACGATAAATGTCCTTCAGTGATTTTGCTAGTAGGTGAAGCGAGCCTGTGCTCATGACCACTACAATAGCACAATCTATGTGAAGCGCTCTTTACATTTCAATGACGTACAGGACTTATCACTACAATAGATTGTCAAGATCATATCATGCTTCAATTATCCAAGGTCGTTATGAAAAATCGCTGGATAGAAGCGTGACAACATCTGTCTGGTATGCAGGCATAATCGGAGTCACTCACAACTTCTGCGTGAATGAAGAACTTTGATCAAATATTATGAGTTATAATCAGATAACGTTACAACTTAATATTGACGGTAATATTATATAGTCATGTACATTTGGTATATCACAACAACTTCCCCTAATATAAGGGACGATAGGTGTTTAATAACTATAACACAAAACCAAAGCAACAGTGATAATTTAAGTGGAATTCTTGTCACATGCATGCGGTAGTTTTCTTCCTTCGACATGGACTTTTTCCCTTTCTCCCTTTTTTTAAAAATAAATATGACCTTCATTCCATTTGTATGCATGCCATTGCCTACATGTATACAGTATCCAATATGTCTCCTGTTATTTTATTATTTTGCTACAACCAATTTATATCAACAGTAGACATATAAGAAATCAACAATAAAATAAGGATACAATTGTCCATTATTCTCATTTCTCTATTAAATTGTTTAGGGCAAGTACATGTTTACATAAGAAGTCTAGTATCATGTTCAGATTTATTTTTTTAAATAACGAGGAGGATAACTTCTATGTAATGATATTAGATATTTTCCTCTCATGCAAAAATCCCAAGGGATCATGTTTATAGCACATTTTGGTGCTATAATTCATTTGTCGATGCAATACAGATGCCCCAAACAAGTTGAGATACATTATATAAACAATTTGTGTTACTGCAATGTTTATATTTCCTCAGACTGTTCTTCATTTCATGTTAAATTCGGATTCAATTCAAATTTTATTGGTCTAATAGGAAGTTTGTTGCGTTTACATGCATTATTCACATAGAAAAATATATACAACATAAAACGATTATATAGAGAAAATAAACATATAGCACTTTAACATTTTCATTATATCGATATTTTATCTCAATTTAAAATCATAATTATACCGAATAGCAAAGATAAGGAGATGGGCCTGAAATAGTTACACATGTTTAGCAAGGGCGCAATCATGTTGGGTGTCACACATCCTTGGGTGGTGGAAAGGCAGTACAAGATGACTTAGGGCTCGTTAGGCCCGCCAAAATTTAGGGGGCCTCAGAAATGGTTTAAAATTTGGGTGAAGAATATAAGGGTAATTGTCTTTGGATACGACAATCAAATGCAAATTAAAGTGCTTACTGATTGTTGATTTGCAGTGAGAATACTGGTGTCTTGTTCATTGTACATATCAGGTAAGATTGGTGTAGAACCGAGCGGTACCGTCTCATACAGTCTTCCCATTGTATTACTCATAACATGGACCTTGAATTGATAAATATAAAAACAACAACATACAAACAATGAAGTAAAAAGTAGGATATCTAATATTGCATTATAAATGTATAACAATAAACAAGAAATCAATCAGGCTTGAATGATAAGAGAAAGCAGCTGTAACAGAAATAAAGAGGTAATAACTTAGGCACAGCGTCAAGCAACTCCAAACTGACCCAAAACTGACTTCAACTCATTTCCAAACCGACATATTCTTGGCCATTCGGATTAATGCAAATGTTATGTTCAGTCCAGTTTGTAGGTTTGGTTGTCGGTATCAATAGTGTGGACGGTCAATATCGTCTGTTCAGAGCCAGAAGGGCATTACCTCTTTGTGAAGTACAAGAATATTAGGCCTAAAATTCAAATAAATTCATGATTAAACAAATATTTTGTGATTGCATGTGTGAACATGTTCAGTAACGAAAGTCATTAGGTTTGGTTTCATAACCAATAAACAATATTCAGCAGTAAAACCCAGGCATGACCGAGAAACATTTATTTATTTATTTATTTATTTCGACTCAGTATACCCGAGAATTGAAGAAAAGGGGGTATATTTGACTTTTAACCCGGAGATTTCTTTAAAAAAAAAAAAAATTATCTTTCTCTCTCTCTCTTTCTGTTGATTCCTGGGAATTTAAAAAGGGGGTTAAAACATTTCTTGAATATCATAGATAGGGGGTACATTAATCAGTGTTCAGGATTCAGAGAGGGGTCTCCAAGGCAGGAAAAGCCCGCGAATAACTCGCAAACTGAGGTTCAGAAATGTTGGCAGTCCTGAGATAGGGGTGCTTTGAAAGGACGGGAACTAGCATACGCGTACTCAAAATGACACTGAGTGGGGGGGGGGGGGGGGGGGGGGGGGGGGGGGGAGGGGGAGGGGGGCGGGCCCCTATACAAATCGAGAGTTCACGTTTTCCACACCAAGACTGCGCATATTTACACATGGTTGGGAAGTGCATCAAATCTAAAATGGGGTCTCGGTGGAGAGAACCTGAATTTTCTCTCGCCTACACAATGTAAATTACAGAGAAAAGGAGTGATGGCATGAGTCTCGTGTGGTTGGCAAGCGTTGTTCCAGCAGGCCTCTTGATTGTATTAGGAGTTGGGCACCCTGCAGCATTTTGGTGCTACAGAAACAATACCCCAACTCATCTTAGGTAAGTGAATGGTTTGTGGGTAGGAAGCAATGCTTGCATGCAGGTAAGTCTCCGCAAGGGATGCAGCAAACCCAAAAAGATGTGAATATGCCTCTCTAATTTCACTTCATTGGAAAATCAACCGAATTAAGTCTGTCAGTGAGCAGTATCTCAAAGTACAGAAAAGAAGTAAATCCTTGAATCAAAAAGCATCAAGATGTATTATACCTGAAGATTTAGGAAGGATTAATTCGAGCAGAATTTTAGGCTAGATCACTTTTTGCTATCAGATGAACGCTTGAAACGACAATAGGTGTCACACAAGTCATGTACCGTCAATAAATCAGGCTATAGATGCACATATGCAAATATCATATATACGGTGAATACAAGATAAAAATATGAACCATTCAAGCACTACATGTATCACTACAAAATTCGCCGTCCTATCTCTTTGATTCCCCCTTCCTCCGCCTTCTTTTCCACCTTCTGTTCCTTCTTCTGCATATGTCATCAATGTCTATATATTTATTTTTCTGTTCATTTGTTTGATTTTGTTGTTTAAGAAGCATTTGAAATGAAACCTTCCATTTTCACGTCATGTGTTTGTTTTTATACTTAAAAATCTAGAATCAGCAACGACCTAATGGATATCATGCCAACTAGACGTTTATCAAATATTGCGGTTGCATGCATCTGATCATATACTGGCTACTCATTCATTCTTTGCATTGTTGACACATCTCACTCACCTTCAACAGGTCTCCCTCTTGGGTACCAATGAACGCCACAGTGTGTTGTCTGACTACTGCCGAAACAATGGAGGTTGGGACATGGGATGACATCTCCACAGCAGCAGATGAAACGAGAGGGTGGATGCCGTTGGCGTATGTAAAAGAGCGTTCTTGAGAACATACGAGTCCTAGCAATACGTCGTCAGGGAGGATCTGTAATCACAATAAAGGGTGACGAAATATGAGCGAAACTTATAGTTTCATTACGTTTTTATTTCTCTTTTTCCTACATGTAGATACATGTATGAATCAAAACAAAATTTCAACTTGAAGAGAAAAAATGTCATACATTAGAATAAAATGGGAAGTTGGGGTAGTGTGAACATTAAAGTTGTTGAAACATTGCAACTTGGTTAATTTCATAAAATACTGTAAGTGGATCAATGACTACCCATGATAGCGTAGACTAATGTCACAATGCAAATTGACTTGGGAAGACTAACAGTATCATGTACATGTAACATGATGGTAACGCATCAATTATTGCCCAATCATTTTTCGAATGATTCAGGGCTTTGTCATGAGAAAAATCTGTTCTTGAAATTTGGAAATACATTTTCTCTACCAAAGTTAAATCTTGAGTTGACAAAATGGTTTGGGGCTTGCTTTACGGTTACAGTATTAAAAAGGTAAATGGAAATGAGGTCATCACAAATATCATATTTATACATGTATGTAGAAATGAGGTGCATTATGCTAGAAATATATTGTAGAATATTCCTTAGAAAGATTTCAAATAATGACGACAATACATGATATAAACAATGTTAACATTCTTTGTATGTCTCTTGAAGTACTTTCCTCATAATTCTTGTCATTACTAATTGAAAGCTAGCCCCCAATATGCTTGTGTGTCACTCAATATTTTGTATGAATTTTGTATTGTATTTATTAAACTTCACTGATGTACATCAATATTCTGTTTATAAACATATACATCAATTTACAATGCAATGTAAGAAATCAATATGCTGTTTGTAAACATAAATGTCATATAAATCAGTTTACACTGCAGTGTATATGGCAAAACAAAAGGAAAGTCATATAAAGCAGAAACACTCTTTTTTCTTCTTGTAATAACATAACATGACATAATTATAATGCATACATTAAATGATATAATGTACCATAATACATCCGAAGATTTAGATATATAAAACCTAATATTTTCTAAATAAATTATAACTCATGCTATACAAAATAGGTAAATGAGGTACATGGAATGCCTAAAATAAATAAACTACCTTAAACTTAAACCAAAGACATAAGATTGTACATTTTTACTTTGTTAATACATAGTATCTAAAACTTACCCCTCACTGCGATTATGTTTTTGGTGAGCGAGAGAAAATATCTATTACATCTTTATTGTCTAATTTCATTATATATATATGAATCGTTCTTGACATTCTAAATTACTAAAGTTTTCTTCCAAATTGCCCAAGTTTTTCAAAAAAATATACATGTGAATCTTTATATTTGTCACATTTCATAATTATATGGAATTCATCTCCTACAAGATTAATATTGCAGTCTTCATAGAATCGTAGATTCGGGGGCGTTTTTTCTGGTCTTTTCGTGTTTATTATGAATAAAAAAGTTAAATAGATTTAGCAAATACAAAAAAGTGGTTAGCCTATAGTTGAAATGAACAAAGTTTCAAGCAGAAATGATCCATCAGTTTCAGGCGCATAGTACACCTATATTTATGCTCCAAAAAATAGACAACGTAGTTAAAACTGAAACCTGAACGTGAAAACGGTTTAGCTGCCGATCGTTAACATCACATGATAGAATCTCAAATGAATAAACTTGCAATGTGCATGTCCTACACATACAGTATAAACGGCTTTCCAAATATGTGTCAAGCTAGAAAATATTAACAAAAGATGTTCAGTGGTCCACTTGGCACCTCGGTGCCCTTGGTACTATGCAAACAAAAAGTCCTCAGAAAAAAGCTCTCTGGTCATAAAATTGAGATGATTAAAATTTCTTGTTAGGTTACAAGGCAAACCAAATTGGAGAGATGCAAGGCTCGAAACTAATAGGCGCCTGGGACACATGGGCACTCAAAATCGAAGTCCAGACCCCCCTATTTAAAAAAAAAATTGTATATAGGGCTCAAACATAATGAATCTGGAGTTCAATCTGGACCTAATTCCAAAATGTTTAGTGTAAACCTTTGGAGGAATGTCCTACAATTACAAATTTGTCACATTGTGATTCACATATTATTAAACTCATCTTTAAAATATTCACAAAGTTCCTCATTTTTTATCAACCTTTGTTCAACTTTCAACTATTTATTTATATGATTTTGTGCTCTCATCGAACGTTACTAACCAACTACAATGTTGGATACCTTGAAAAGCCTACCGCTTCCATCAAAAGGTAGGTAGTGTACCTACCAATTCGTCACAAGTAGCACCATTAAGGTATGAAAGACGGGCATCCTGGGTCCCAATTAGACAATCCTTAACTGCCTGCAGGAAGGCAGCTTCAACATCTGCCATGCTATACACGCACAGGGCTGCACTACTGCTCACAGAATCGGATTCAGAGAAGGCCGCAAACAAAATGCTGTCTGAGGTAGAACCCATGGACATCTGCAGGGCAGGGCCAGCTTTCCCGACGCGAGCTGCCTGCACCAGGTTGTAAGATGTATCTGGTCGGTTCCTACTGTTACACCTTAAGGTGATCTCTGAGTAGTATTCCATCCTGGCCGTTTCACAAACTCTCCCTAATTTGACATTTCCAACCTGGTTCATGACAAAATACACAAAGCCATTGTGGGTAAAGGTTTCAATGTAAGAGATAGGGAAACTGTTCACTGAAACGCCCAGAGCATAGTGGTTAAGTTCATCTGCCTGGTCAAAGCTATCTGAAACAGTCCATCGTATGATAGGATGTGTAAACGAGGTGACATCAGCGCTTAGTGTGTTTGCCAGATAGAACTTCTCCGCAAGGTTACCTCCTTGGGCCACTTCTGTGATGACCCCAGCTGCTGTGAGTCCTGCCGATTCCCCAGGAACCATTATATTACTGCTGTGTACCACTTGCTCAATATCAGACAAGTCTCTGACTTCACACTTTCCTTCTGCACTCGTACACATGATTAAGTTTTCGGCATCTCCTTGAGAAATGACAAGAATCTTGGTGATGTCGTCGCAATGTTCATCTTCAGCACAACTTGAGGTACCAGTGCTCTCGAGGCTCTGTAAGTCAGAACCGAGTCTAAACAGAAACTTCTCTGCAGCAACATAAAGGCTTCCTGTCCTATTGTGCACTACAAAACGATTCAAAGTCACATCTTGACTTGGCGGTGTAAACGATGAGAGGTTGTAGGAGTTTAGTACTGCAGCTGCTAGTGTGGTTCTGACGATGAGGGTCATGGCTAGGAGTGACAGGTATATTGCCATGCTGAGATGATTAGGGTGTCTCTGGAGATGGGATGACATCTTGCTCTTTAAGATGCTCATCTTGAATTGTATCCCTAGAAAAGAAGAAAAAACACAACATAAATTAACTATTTAAACAAAAACGAATATGTCATGACATTCATGAGTACTAATTATTATATATCGTATTTCATTGTGCCCCACCCCCCTTTCCAAAATTCCTAAATCCGTGCCTGAATATCTTACCTTGTATTCAATGCGTGTTTCAATCACAGCACTGTTGCTTTTCTTGATCTGGATAGTATTATTAGCGAGTGTTGTCTCTGGCGGATGTGATGGTTTCCCATATTGAGTTATTTAATCCCAAGAACTTTATCTCCCAAATGAAGCAGTCCTGGTATACATTACTGACAGCCAATTAGTGTTGATTCGATGTCTATATTGTACGCATCTGCTCTCTCTAACGAAACGTGACTACAGTGATGAAAATATGCTACACACATTCGCATGCGATTGGTGTCGGTGAACACCGGGTGCACAACTGGTATTTTGATACTACCGGATCTCCTTGCGATGCACATGTCCAAACAAAGTCGACATTATGTGGGCGTGGCTCGACTGTTCCATTTCATTAGGAGACAAACCCTAGCTTTTGTATCACTCTACCTTTAGTCACTTGATCTGGAAATTTGTGCATTTTGAGAGGATTTTAAGATAGTAGCGCCCCATGAACTTACAGAGGTTGACACAAGGAAAGTCGTTGTTCTTTCGTTTGTCAAGTTTTACCTGAAGGAGTGATTAACCCTTCTTGTTAGTTGACGTGTGCAAATATTTCTTAGATTATGATTAATTATTGATTGAGAGATACTTAATTTTCGTTAATGGATAGTACAGTGAAAATTGTGATTCATGAATGTTATCAATAACGGGGAGGGGGCAGTGGTGGATCCAGGGGGAGCCCGGGCCCCATCCCCTGACCCCAAAACAGGTTGTTTTGTTGTTAATGTTTTTTTTTTTTGGGGGGGGGGGGGGGGGGGGGTGTTGAGTAAAAAACAAAATAGAGGTCTATATCTCCACCCCCCGCTCATTCTGCCGTCGGCTTCATCGCCGCTGAATATTTTATCGGGCCACCTCCCTCGTCGCCGGCTGGATCCGCCCCTGGGGGGGGGGGGGGGGGGGAGGTACTTCACAGCATATGTAAATGTTCATTTCTTTGTATATACACTGTTGGTCATAATGGTGGAATAAGTATTTTTACCTCAATTTATTGAATGATTTTGACAATGATTTATTCGTAAGAGATCTACAATGTCGCTCATAAAGGTGGAATATTTTAGTTTTACCCCAATTTATGGAATTATTTTAAAAATTATTTAAAAATAATAGATCTAGATTATAGTATACATTCTCAGATTTTATTGAATAATAATTTGCCAATGTGTGTTTTGCGGGACTGCTAAAGCATGTGTATGCTATTATGCTTATTAACTAGGGAACCTACGCCCTCAAGTCATAAATGACAGTAATTAGGATTAATGCCCCACAAAAGGGCACTAATATAGCACATCGACACGGTTTTAATCCTGGGGCCTCACAGTTACGAGGCCATTGTTTTGTCGATGAACCATGACTGTACGCAGCGGGGGCTAGGGTAGGGGGCAGTTTCCATAAATGTAAAAAAACACAGAAAATGCAATAAATTTTCAACAATTTATTGCATTTTACCCCGGTTCCCAACATAAAAAAATCTTCTGTTTGCCCATGCCTTGAGCCATAATGCATGGCCGTCCAGAGGATTTGTATATGTTGGGGAGCATAGTAGCATACACATGCTTTAGCAGTCACGCTAAACAAACACTCCCCAATTGTCATTCAATAAAATCTGAGAATGAATACAATTATCTAGATCTATTAGGAATAAATCATTGTCAAAATCATTTAATAAATTGGGGTAAAAATAATTATTCCATCATTATGACCAACAGTGTAGAAGCATTTTTTCATTAAGTTGGCCGTAATGATGAGGTAAGTTGTTTCACTGTGTAGGCTTAGATGGCGATTGGCGGCAACACTAATACTAGATGCAGCAGTTGCTAAAGATGATGTGGGATGTAAATGTGACCTCTTTTCCTTTCCCCACCCCTTAGCCTTTGAATAACGCCTTGTATGTACAATTATGTCCCTTTTTCCGATTTCTGTCTTCCTTTCTTTGTTTTTTTCTTCGAATTCACGCATTTTTCGTTTATTTCCCCCTTTCTGCAATGCTTAACGATGCAAATCGCTGTTTGAGTCTCTCCGTTCTGCTCCGTCTGCATGAAGATGAATTGAAAACTGGAGGGCCTCCTTAATGATGCGGTTAGAATTGGGCTGTTTGGCGTTTTTCGTCAATATTTTGTTCACCTGTTCATTAACACCGAAAGGTGTTTAGCCATTATCTCAAGGGATTAGGCAAGCTCATGAGAGCGAATGAAAGAGAGAGAAAGAGAGAGAGGGGGGGTTGGATTTCTGTGTTTGGCCGCTCTGGCAAACTTCTTCGGATGTTCCACTTCAGACATCATTTCCGATTCTCCAAACCCCTTTATGAATAAGACGTAACCACTTCCCTCTGCAAGACGCCAAGACATGTGAAATGATTTAATATTGCACATAACTTGTTTCAAACAAGAAAGTTGTTTGGAGAATAACTTGGGAACAGGGATGATTGCGCTTGATATGGAAAAATTTCATTTATTTTCATTTCATTTCATTTATTCATTGCCCAATAGATGTTTGAAATGGATATTTCTTTCTCTCACATACAAGTAAAGGTTTAGACATGGCATACGAAAACTTAAAGAGATGCAAAACATTGATACGTTCTGTTGGAGGTCAATAATATACATAAAATGTTTTAATTAGATGCATGAGCTATCACTCTGGTACGTGATAGTACATTGTACTTCTAGTATGAGCAAGATCAGAATTAACTTGAGTTGGATGTTAAGGATTCCACATTTTGGAGACCAACTGTCAACGAAAATGAGGTCGCTCATGTCCGAAAACTCACGAAATTAGAGACCCGCGAGACCGAAGGCCGAAGAGATCACAAGCACACGAGACAAGAGACAAGAGGATCTAAAATCAATGATTTCCCTGTTTGTTGCTTGTTTCGGTCTCGCCAGCCTTAGGTCTCGTGAACTATTATCATAATAGATGATAGATTTAACTAGACCGAATCTCCCGGTTCTTTTGTCTTTCAGATCTTCGGTCAGCTGGACAGTGGATACTGAATCTAAAAATAATGACGAAACAATCCTGGCAATTTTTCAAATAAAGTTGAGCTAGACCATACACATGTTGCTTAAATTAAAACTGTAACTACCTATAAAATTATTAACGTCATCACCATCATCATAATCATTATTTTAATCGTTGTCGTCATCATCTTAATTATCACAACCAAGTAACCTCCCAGGCTCTTCATTATCACTTTCATTGTCACCATCCTCCTCCTCATCATCATCATTATTATCCTCATCATTATCATTATCATCTTCATCATCATTATTATCCTCATCATAATCATCATCATCGTCATCATTACCATCTGTGTCATCATTCTGATCATTGTCATCCTCCTCATAACCAGTATTATCATCTTTATCATCATCCTCATCACTATTATCACCTTTATTATCATTCTCACCGTCATCCTCCTCCTCCTCATCATTATTATCATCTTCATCTTCATCCTTATCACCATTATGACCTTTAGTATCATTCTCATCATCGTCATCCTCCTCCTTCTCCTCCTCATCATCATAATCATAATTATTATCATGGTCGTCGTCAACATCATCATCCTATCTTTATCATCATCATTATCAACAAAATCAAAATCGTTACCAACCGCCATCGCTTTATTATCCTAATAATCTTACCTGATATCGATCCTCACAGCACAAAAAATGTCATTGTACAGGACTATGTACATAGATAAAATTTGTATTTTAAGACCCCCAAACGTGTTGAATCAGAAAATCATTACGACGAAATAAGTCACCTTTCACATAATACAGCCTATCTTGCGCTCAGTTAAAGCATTTTATTTTAATTTCTAGCTAAATTATTGACTAGGTAGTGAATTCAATTGCATGACATCTTGTTTCTTTATTTGCAAAAATAGAAAGTTCCATTTAATTACTAATCAAATTATCATATCTTAGACAAAAACTATGAATACACAATACTATAATAATCCAGTGGGATGTAAATACGAATTACTTTGTTTTAAACAAATTTGTGGTTTCATGTTTCAAACAACAGTTTTAGACAGAGAATTGTGATCTTCCTTCCTTATTTAAAGTATCACGCGCGTTTAATGTTTCCACACAAAATCATTTCCTTATTTATACTAAAGAACAGCTTAAAGCCCCTCTAAAGTGTTTTTTTTTAGTATGGATGCCACTCTAAACAGAATGAGTCATGTTAAAGGGATCGTTTAACAATGTTAAATCTGAGATGCATGGCCCTACGTGTTATCAGTGTCTGTGATATTGTAGCCCTAAAAAAATGCGCTTCAAAATGATCATGAAGTGCCTCAAAAAAGTAAAAGTCTTCGAGTGACCGGTTTTACTATACTCATTTTTCCCAAGACTGTAGCGTTATAAAGACCTTTAGAAACTTAAAATTTGAATTCGATTTCCAATCATCAATATCTTGATAATCAGACAGGCAATCGGCTTGTACAAGTCATGGGGTTCCTGACTGACCTAACTATTTATAATTGTCATTGCAGCATGAGCTAAATCCATGATTTCGTTTCAGAATCTGAGACAATGTTACCGAGTCACTTTAAGTATGACTCCGAAGTGCATTGTACTTCAACTCATTACATAGAGAGTGTACGATCTGAACTTCGACAGCATGTTCACATCTGAATAAGTCGAATACATCATCACTGATTCTTATACTATGATGATGTTGGTCAAAATCTAATCTTACTTAATTTAAAGATGATCTCTTCTCATACCTCAATGTCGACGAAGATAGTACAAGCAAATAAAAGTGAACCAGCCAATACAATTTGGTGGACTGAGCTATTGATTATAAACCGTCTTTTGGGGGACATATTTTGATGATGCAAAAATATACTCTTTCATGAATATCTTTGATATTAAACACATTGTACAAAACTTTGGACAGGGGTAGCTGGACAGTGGATACTGAATCTAAAAATAATGACGAAACAATCCTGGCAACTTTTCAAATAAAGTTGAGCTAGACCATACACATGTTGCTAAAATTAAAACTGTAACTACCTATAAAATTATTAACGTCATCACCATCATCATAATCATTATTTTAATCGTTGTCGTCATCATCTTAATTATCACAACCAAGTAACCTCCCAGGCTCTTTATTATCACTTTCATTGTCACCATCCTCCTCCTCATCATCATCATTATTATCCTCATCATTATCATTATCATCTTCATCATCATTATTATCCTCATCATAATCATCATCATCGTCATCATTACCATCTGTGTCATCATTCTGATCATTGTCATCCTCCTCATAACCAGTATTATCATCTTTATCATCATCCTCATCACTATTATCACCTTTATTATCATTCTCACCGTCATCCTCCTCCTCCTCATCATTATTATCATCTTCATCTTCATCCTTATCACCATTATCACCTTTAGTATCATTCTCATCATCGTCATCCTCCTCCTTCTCCTCCTCATCATCATAATCATAATTATTATCACGGTCGTCGTCAACATCATCATCCTATCTTTATCATCATCATTATCAACAAAATTAAAATCGTTACCAACCGCCATCGCTTTATTATCCTAATAATCTTACCTGATATCGATCCTCACAGCACAAAAAATGTCATTGTAAAGGACTATGTACATAGATACAATGTGTATTTTAAGACCCCCAAACGTGTTGAATCAGAAAATTATTACGACGAAATAAGTCACCTTTCACATAATACAGCCTATCTTGCGCTCAGTTAAAGCATTTTATTTTTAATTTCTAGCTAAATTATTGACTAGGTAGTGAATTCAATTGCATGACATCTTGTTTCTTTATTTGCAAAAATAGAAAGTTCCATTAAATTTCTAATCAAATTATCATATCTTAGACAAAAACTATGAATACACAATACTATAATAATCCAGTGGGATGTGAATACGAATTACTTTATTTTAAACAAATTTGTGGTTTCATGTTTCAAACAACAGTTTTAGACAGAGAATTGTGATCTTCCTTCCTTATTTAAAGTATCACGCGCGTTTAATGTTTCCACACAAAATCATTTCCTTATTTATACTAAAGAACAGCTTAAAGCCCCTCTAAAGTGTTTTTTTTAGTATGGATGCCACTCTAAACAGAATGAGTCATATTAAAGGGATCGTTTAACAATGTTAAATCTGAGATGCATGGCCCTACGTGTTATCAGTGTCTGTGATATTGTAGCCCTAAAAAAATGCGCTTCAAAATGATCATGAAGTGCCTCAAAAAAGTAAAAGTCTTCGAGTGACCGGTTTTACTATACTCATTTTTCCCAAGACTGTAGCGTTATAAAGACCTTTAGAAACTCAAAATTTGATTTCGATTTCCAATCATCAATATCTTGATAATCAGACAGGCGATCGGCTTGTACAAGTCATGGGGTTCCTGACTGACCTAACTATTTATAATTGTCATTGCAGCATGAGCTAAATCCATGATTTCGTTTCAGAATCTGAGACAATGTTACCGAGTCACTTTAAGTATGACTCCGAAGTGCATTGTACTTCAACTCATTACATAGAGAGTGTACGATCTGAACTTCGACAGCATGTTCACATCTGAATAAGTCGAATACATCATCACTGATTCTTATACTATGATGATGTTGGTCAAAATCTAATCTTACTTAATTTAAAGATGATCTCTTCTCATACCTCAATGTCGACGAAGATAGTACAAGCAAATAGAAGTGAACCAGCCAATACAATTTGGTGGACTGAGCTATTGATTATAAACCGTCTTTTGGGGGACATATTTTGATGATGCAAAAATATACTTTTTCATGAATATCTTTGCCATTAAACACATTGTGCAAAACTTCGGACAGGGGTAGGGGGTGCGCCTTATTAGGTTCTGGCATTTGTCAGTCGGGCGATTCGCTTCTCTAATTGGTCCTGCACAGTAATTCTTTTTTCCCTTTTATTTCATCCAAACATGAACAAAATATATAAAGATAACCATTGACTTATTGTTCTTTCGCCATCACCGTCATCAGTTAATGATAATATGAAGATAATAAAAGACACATGCCGTACGAGAAACATTGCATGGATTCGCCCAGCAGTGCATACAACTAGAAAATGTGTATTTTATGAAATATTAGTATAAAACAGACTAACTTCCTCAAAAGAGGATTGACTTCCATTTAATTACATTTTGAATCATAATGAAGAATGATAAGATATGACTAACCTGACAATATGGTGTGAGCTACATGTATATTAGCTGAAAGTGATGAAAACACTCACAGTGGAAATAACAGGAAATTTAAGAATAAACGGGGCACTTCGAAGGGATGTATAAGGGATTACTCTTTATCAGAACTACATAAACAAAATTTACATTGCTATGCACAAACTTGAGACATAGGCCTACATTTCAACAAGGAAATAAATCAACGAACATATACAATACACGAATGAATATTTCCATTTTAAATGTCACGTACAGAAACCATTTTTCATTCCCTTTCTATTTTCGGAGTACTTCCGACAACCTTGGCCTCATAAAAGACATGTGAAATACAAAAATGTTTACAAGAAATGTGTATTGAATGATGCAGGAATGGGAATAGATATTGATTAAAAAGGTTGAGTTTTGTTGAAGGTACTTGAACAAAAATATCTCAAATTTCTTGTTCTTCAATGTTTGTTTGGAAGAATATCATAATAGAAATGTCCCCTTTGAGGGGTTGCTCATCAAATACCCTCATATATGAAACATGAGGGGATATGAGGGGGGAAATATGAACGTTTCTGACCAAACTTCCATGTCACATATGTGTAGTCCCATAAACTCACACTTTAGTGTGCACTGCAAGTGACTTTCAGCATGAGTGCGCGTTATTTTATTATCATGATAATTACAAAACCTAACATAATGTATATTCTTATGTAATACGTAAATATCAGCTTTTCCTAATTGCTTCCAGATTTCTTTCACAATGTGATCATTATGATTAGAACTCAATTTAATCCTTAAAGAGTCCCATACACTTCCTCACTACTCGGGGGCATATCATCCGGCGTTCTCTTTCGCGTAGGATCTACTGTCTCGGGGAGAGGGGCGTCACTAGATGGCGCTGCAAGCTGTTCAGCTTCAGTCATATCAAGCTGTCCATATTCTGCACCGCTCTCCACCTTCAAGCTCTCATCAACTGGCTTCATCATTGGACTCCTGTCCAGGGTCTGATACGTCTCTGCTGTAGGACACCCTGGAGTATCTCCTGTATCACTGTTCACAGGTTCTAGGTGTCCATACTCGTCATCTCCTGGAGGATTAGGGTGGCTTTTGAGGTGTCCTGATTTGTTGGGACTACGGTCAAGTTTCCCGTACTGACAATCCTCCTCGGCCACGTCTACTACCGGACTATCCTGAATCTGTGGTTGCCCCGTCGACTTCACTGTCTCTTGAGGTTGCGTTTCTTCTTTAGCTGCCTTCGGCTTGTCATCCAAATCAAATTCAAGATACTCAGGTGTTGTATCAGTCACTGCTTTGTCTTCCAGATTTTCTTTGGTTTCTTCTAGCTCATAATAGACCAGGCCGTCTCCTGGATCTTTCTTGTTTTGATCAAGGTCTGATGAATCTTTCTTTGATGATCCCTCTCCTCGATACCATAGGTATCCATTGGTGTCTTCTTGAGCGTTGGTCAGGGGTCCATCCTGTTCTGACCTGTTGGTACAGTCTATGTTACGGACACCTGCGTAGAAATGCGGTTCCTCGTTGGGCTCAATTTCGTAATGGTTTTCTTGGTCCGGGCCGCTGGGTGATCGCTTCACAGGTAGTTCTAAGGCCATATCATCGAAATAGGGAAGATATAAGAATGAAATTCGTTTAACATTGTCAACATGAAAATAAAGAAACAAACGAAATGCGGAATGACGCAACAATTACATTATACAGAAGCATAATTGACAAATATCACAGAAGCTGCATGCCCAGTAATCTTATGGCTTGATGCCAGTGTCCTTAGAGTTGTTGTTATGTTTAAATATTGAAACGTAAAGTTCAGTTATCTGAATTTACATCGTTCCACATCATTTCAGCGATTTGAATTGATAATTCTCAGATTTCTGTTAGAAACCAAAAATGTCGTTTAACTTTACTAACCTTTCATAGAACCCGTTTCTTCGCAGGTACATATACATCTTCTCTTCATGCTGTAATCATTTAAAGAAAATAATGATTAACTTGAAGTATGTCACGATTTGATGGAAAACTAAAATCAACACACTTAAGCATGAATTATTTTGTTATCATAATTTAAGTGTATTAAAGATTGGCTCGAGCAAGATGGAAATTGACTTTTAATCTAAAGCTAATAATGGACATAACAAATCTCAGCAAACTAAAACATGTAAAGCTTTAGCAAATGTTGCCTTTCCTCCCTTATAATATCAATTGTTTATTTGTGACTACTAATGCTTGGGAATTCAATGTGTCTCTCCCCTCTTCTCCCCCTTGACAATGATAAACTTTTTTATTTCGGATAAAGTTTCGTAGAGTTTTTTTTTATTTGTAAAGCAATGATATTCATCAAAACACTGTTTTGTATTTATATCAAATCGTACATAATTTATGGTGTTGTATTAACCATGCGTTCTGAAACATATTCTCACTTCATTATCATCAAGGTAATGTTGCTGTTAATCGGTTGAGAGGAAGAAGGGCGTGAACTCTTTGCTAAATGATATGGGGTAAAAGACTTCTGCTTCTGAGGTTTTTTTTTTGTTCTCTTACCATTTTGGAATTCCTCCAGTCCTCCAGACTACAAGCATAGCGACAACGAGAAAGACAATGATGGCGACGATGGGGACGACTACGCCGGCAATCTTCATGGGATCCTGATGTGATTCCTCAAACCCACCGATATCACCTACTCCATCACCTCCTTATTTAGAAGAAAGAGGACACTTTATTAAATAACTGATTCATGCAAGTTTTGTAACAATAACAGGAAGGAATGCTTGTCAAAAGGCATGTTGGGAAACGGTCACCATCTATATGTTTTTTTATAGAAAGGGGGTAAAAAGGGAACTCTATATTTTAATCGAGCGTTTTTCTGTTTGTTTGTTTGTTTGATTGTTTTTATTTTTCTTTCATTTTTCCCTTTTTATTGTTCATTTAAAAATCTAGACATATAATAGCTTTGTTAGGATTCAAACATAAATCAAGAAACAAAAATAATGATAATAATAATAAAAATAACAATAATACCACTGCAAATAATAAAATACTAACAATAATAATAATAATTAGAATAATAATGATAATATTAGTAATAATAATAATTATAAAAATTTTAATCATAACAACGATAATAATAATGATGATATCGATAATAATAATAATAATAATAGTAATAATAATAAAAATGGATAAAAAAATTATATATATATATATATATAGCTCATATATTTGACTATTATAGCACCCAAGGCGCGCAATATATACATGTATAGTTTGACGTGTTACGTGTGCATTACAAACATGATGTAATGCTTCAGTTTCATCACAGCCCTACATTCCATTTTATTAACAAACTTTCGCGCATTGTGTCATATGTCTAACTTCTTGGTCTTATCAATAGTCGTATCGACAGTGATGTAGACTCTCACCTTTAGGGTTCTTGCCTGAAGCACCATTTGTGTCATCTGGAGTACTGCAAAAAGAAAATAAAAATGATACTCATCATGCTTTATTTATACCCTTCATAGGTTATATCGGTTTCATTCTGTTCCTAATACTTCCATCAACACGTTATTATATTTTATTTGTATATATTTTTAAATATCACCGTGGCGTGGATGAAATTGCGAGGCAGCTTTGCAAAACTTTTGGAATATAATGGATCAATCGTAACCACTCCTAATATATTTATTCTCCCTTCCCTCTCACCCCCTTTTTTATGGGGGGGGGGGGGGTCATTTCGATTGGGGAGTAGTGCTCCCGTTGCACAGCTATGCTTAAGGTGGGGGTAAAGTGAGGTATAAGGTTTATTGCAAACCCATGTAACAGTGCGTTGACACAGGCTATGCAAAGAAATCTGAAATTGATCTTTATCATCACATGAAACTAATACGATCGCAAAGTTTTTCAAAATATAAGAAATATTCTCGTACACCACCTAAAGAAATGTACGGTCATTTAGGCGTACAATAACATATTTCATAATCCGAACATTTGTATAGGCAATGATATAAGGTACTGGAAGTTCTCTTTGATTGATTCATTGAAAGCCTTAGCGATTGTGTTCATTTCTTCGTTCTTTTTTGAAAGGTTTCCAGTCCCTCCTTCCTCTGCACGATAAGTTTGTGTTAAATTATATGACCTTGTTATGGAAATTGTTATATTATTTAATGTTTTTGTATTAAACAAAAATCCACTTTATTCCTCACCTGTCATCATCTTCGTCGTCATCGTAGCACTCGCCACATGCTCCGCAAACCGGCGATCCGTTGTTAGTGTACGCGTCACACTCGCATGAACCCCACAAACCGTTGGCTACAGACTTCTGCAAGCAGATATCCGAGCTGGGAGCGACGATGTTTGATAGACAACTGCAGTCACGTGCACTCTCACAACAAACCCTCGAACTATCCGGACAAGAAGGAGCGAGCGGATAGCAGCCATCAGCGACCGTTTCTAATCATTAGAATCATTGATTGAAAAAGAACATCACATTTAAAGGGATACTTGAGTTCTTGTTTCAGACCGCAAATGCCTTCAAAGTGCATGGTTATTGCTCTTATTCTTATTTATGACATTCCTAGTGCTCTTCTAGGACCTACAATTTCTATGAAGGTAATTTTAGACCCCAAAATGTGTGAATTAAGCCAATACAATCATACCCATTCAGCTCCACTTTCAAATAAATGCGGTGATCGTTAATTAATTAATTAATTAGTTAACAATTACGATACACGGGCCGGCTGGCTGTGCGTATTATAACCAACACGAAAAAGCCAATATCGGCATTTGGGGGAATAAAATGTATAAGCCGCTATCTCGTTTTTTTCAACGGCTAGTTCTTATTATCGAATACTTGTGGGGCACCACAAGTATTAGACATCGTTATATTTATGGATATTTCAGCCGTCTCTGAACCGATTTTAATAAAACAAAGATGATATTTTGTAATTTGAATCGTAGACGTTCTTTCACATTTGACACTCAGCTTTTCAATATCTCACAAAAAACATTTCGTGTAGCGCGCTCTGCAACAAAACTAAACCATCCCTTGGACTGGAGATCGATGTTTCTTAAAATATTAAGATGATTACCATTGAAGTTTGGTTATGAAAATCCCTATTCCTAAAATAGTAGTTTAGATGTGGTATGGTCTGAACATCTGAATATCAACTTGAATGTCTTCACCAGACCATTCAATGAAATGATAGTATTTGCTGCTCATGAGAGATTTTAATGAGTTTAAAGCAAGACTACTTTTGTATGTATGGGATTCACAGAGCATTTAAACTTACTAGTCGGCGCTTTAAATGTGCAGAGTGATTCCTCATTTCCCCTTTCATACTGACATTCGATGTACTGGTTATCTCTATAAAAAAAAGAAGAAAGAAAGAATATTTAAGCGGAGAGAATTGTCAAGTCTCCATATAATTGAATTTGTTTCTTCTTCATAATATCATGGTAGCCAAGGTCGGCCTGTATGGATACGATATCATTTATATTTAATGAATCATCGAATCAATACGAGAGGTGTTGTGGTAGAGTGGTTCATTCACTTGACTTTGAAACATGAGGTGGAAGGTTCCAATCCAAGCCTGGTAATCGCGTCCTCTGATAATATATTACTCTCCACCCAAATGTGAATGGGTACCTTATGTGCTGTAACCGGGGTAATAATGTCGAAGTGGCATGACCGTCACATAAGAATGCATTACTAGTATTAAAACAAATTCATCATTAGGATGTCTGAATCGGTGTTCAGACATTTGCTCGGCGACAACTGCTCCGGACTTTGTTTCATCAAAAGTATAAGGTTAGTGTTACGGTTGCGATTGGGTGTTAGATTACGTCAGGTTAAGGGTTACTTAAAGTGTGGGATCCAGGGTTCATGCCCGGGGTTCAAGTTAGGAATTCAAATAGTTAAGGGAATTACCGCGTACAACCGTTAGAATCAACTCACGTATTTTCGCAGATAAAGTGAGGTATCTGAAGACTATAAAGGCACATGGCTGTTGCTTGTTGTTGGTTTGTAAGACATACATACATGCCATACTGTTGGTTGCCTTCGCTGTCAGTGAAGGCGGAAACACAAACATCGTAATTTGTTGGAGCACATTTGATGCAACCAGACGACTGACATGAAAAGAAACCTGGAAAAAAGGTGATACAAAAGGACATCTATTTAATTTTCATATGTGAGATGCAATAACCCGATCAGGCAGATTTCTTGTTTCAAAAGGTCGGGCACAAGGTCCACTACAATTGATACATTTGATCGAATTGGAGGAGTAAAAAGTCCTGTGCGACTTCTATAACTGTCATCTTCATTCAGCAGTGTTCAGTGCTCTATTACATGATAGACGAACAGATTACTCTAGCAGTGTGACTGATCAAATCATTTTAATGAAAAAATAGTCTTTAAATAAGAGTTTCTCCACTTCTCCCATATAGAAAACACAATTATTTACCAGACATATTTATATATAATTATAGAGATCTATGAATTAAATCAAGTCAATATAAATATTTAACAAATATTTTCTAAAGAAATACACGCGTATTTGATATGGAAATATATGTGAATGCACCATTTAGAATTGCAAATGAAACTGAAAGTTGGTATGCTTGAACACATATATTCAGAAGTTGCAAACAAATTATTTTATTTGAATTTAAAGGAATGTACCCTTTTCAATATATTTTCTAGGTGCTTGTCTTCATCCATTATGTCATTTTGATTTGTGAAAATAAGTCACGCGGTAATTTGTTTTCTTGTATGAATTTCTAAATAACATTTTATCAACATCAGCATACGGAATATTTTGAGGTGCATCAGGGTTGTATGTATTGGTGGATGAGTATGAGAGGCGGAGAGGGGGTGGTGGTGTTAGAACAGTGTATATTTACCAATATTTGACAATTCATCATAGTTGTTTGACGTACAGTTGCAATGACATCCACTCACTAGGGCCGATGATCGTTTTATAGCCCCTGGAAATAAGTGCAACCTGGATGACGAGACAGCAGAAAACTATCACATTAATTAATTTATATAAAGCCTAAAAAAAAGTTGTTGTATTGACCTTTAGGTGCAAAAACCTGGGTCGGTCGGTCGAAAATCTTTTTTGTTTGTTTATTTTTTTTTTTTTTTCCCGGCCTCCAAACAGTGACCGTCGCCCACCCCCCCCCCCCCCCCCCCCCCCCCCCCAAAAAAAAAAAATTGGGAACGTCGCCCAAATTTCGCTGGTTTCTAGCTGGTGCAGTGTATGGTATACACGTACTTGTTTACGCTCGCAGGATTTCGAAACTAGGGCAGAAGACGAGTGAGAATTTTGGAATAATATGCATTTATATCCCATTTAAACAAACAAAATACTAATTTTTAGTATTCATTAAACATTTTTTGTCTAAAAAAAACTTGTTTTTAAAGCCGAACGTAGTTTTTAAGATTTTTAAGTCGGTCGCAAAGGGCAATACAACATCAATGTGTATTTCATTGCGGAATATGAGCGGTTCAGTATCCATGGAAACTGAATAGAAAAGGGAATAGAAGGTAATGGAGAAGATAATGGTTTTGAGAAAGAAAAGAGAGAGATAGATAAAGAGAGACAGAAAGAAAGAGACACGCAGACAGACAGACAGAAGAGAGAGACAGACAGAGAAAGAGAGAGAGAGAGTGGGAGATAGAAAGAGAGATAGAGGGAGAAAGGAGGAGAGAGAGGGGTAGAAAGTATATGGAGAATATATATTTTGGTTGGTACAAAGTTTATGTTTGTAAGAAAGAAGAGAGAGATAGATAAAAAATTTAAAAAAGAGAGAGAGACATACATAGAAAGAGAGAGAGAGAGAGAGAGAGAGAGGGTAGAAAATAAGGAGGCAGACTTAATCAGAAGAAGAAGAAGACATTATTTTGGTTGGTACAAAGCGTTTGGTGGTGAGAAGAAGAGAGAGATATATATATATAGAGAGAGAGAGGGGGGAGATAGAGAGAGAGAGAGGGGGGGGGAGAGAGTGAGTAAGAGAGATAGGTAGAGAGAGAGGGGAGAGAGAGAGAGATAGAGAGAGATAGAGAGAGAGAGAAAGAGAGGGAGAAAGGAAGAGAGAGCGAGAGGGAGAGAGAGGGAGATAGAGAGAGAGAGAGAGAGAGAGAAATATATAATAGAGAGAGAGAGACAGACAGAAAGGGACAGACAGACAGAGAAAGAGAGAGAGATCAGGGGGTAGAAATTAATGGAGAAGATTATTTTGGTTGGTACAAAGCTTATGGTGGTGAGAAATAAGAGAGAGACAGAGAGGGAATAATTAAGATGGGGTTAGGGGAGAACAAAATGGGGCAGTGAAAAGAAAATATAACGATTCTTCAATTAAATAGTGAAGGCTAGATAACAATACCACTAAATCATGAGCTATGATCTGATACTTCTTCAAAGTACTGTTGTAACTCTTAGAGCTTTACCCCTCTCGAAATTAAGAATTGTTTCCGACCGCATTGTCAATATGACAAATTTACAACAGCAATCATCATTTCCCACATTGTTTAGTGCACTGAATTTCATCTTTCTTTGTTTAGTTTTCGATAACAAATTACCAGTAATACGAATACCACTGAGTGCCATAGGGATTCAAATTCGAATTAATTTGTTTTCTGTAGATTTTTGTTTTCAAAGTCCATGTGCATGAATGTACATTGATTCCCCCCTTCTTTTTCTATAAGAGCTAAAACTTCTTCAAATTACTGTATGTATGTAGGTGCCAAGGTTCCATCAATCTTTCAATAAACAATTACTAGTCGGTGAAGTAACGAATTTTAACTTCCAGGATGTACTTACGCTGCACTTTCATGTTCACCAGAATCAGCCAAGATATAATTAATCAAGCTCGAGGAAAGAATGAACAAATAGAACATCATCCTGACCCTATAATGTGCCGACAATATCACAATCGAATTCATCTTGAGTGTTTCAATGACGAAAGACAATCCTAAAAATCAGTCCAAATCCTAGAGATTTCCTGGCCCTAGTCAAGCGACGACGGATTCAAGATAATCATCCGGGCTAGATCCATTCCAATCTTCCTCTGTCTGAAATCTGTCTGAAAAGGAGGAGCTAGAATCATAATAATGTAGTCGGACGGTGAGATTAGGGTTTAGACTCTTGAAGGAAAGATAATAAATCCGATTGAGAGCTATCATCTGACCGTACACGTAAATTTGCACAAATTGCAGGAGCTGGAGAACGTTTGAATGCTCAAATCACTCGTTGTCAGGACACATTAATAGCTCAGTTCCGTTGACATTTTTATATTTCTCCACTTTTTCCCATCTTATGCCCAAGTTTCTCCTCCTACGCCATACCAGTCAGTCCGCAGCGTCCGCGAATTCGCTCGTATTTACACAAGTCGTATGCAAGCTATGTACGGTAAAAACGGACATTAAGCAGAAAACATTGGTACATGAAAATTACGATTACATCAATGTTTCTCTATGGATTTTTTTCATTTATGTACTAATATAAAGAAGATAGACCACATAATCCATCTTTACAAAACATCAAGATATTTTTTTAACGTTAACATGCTCTAAAAAGAGCATTTAAAACAGTCTAAAAAACATAGCAACTTAATGATATGCAGCATTAAAAAAATATATGAAAACGCTACTGCATCAAAAAGTAATTTGGTTCATTGTGATGATAAATATACAAACTTTCAAACCATCACTGTTTCCTTTATTTTACTTCTTTATACCAGTCAGGAACACGGTAAATACAACACCATGTTCATTCCAACATATTCAACAGCGGTGACACAGACGATATGCGTGGGTCATCAGAGTATGACGTCATGTGCCAACCGGGGGATACTACGTTAAATCTAGCTTTGCGTCGATTATCGATGTTCTGTGTCCGTGCGCTGTACATGAACACGCACGGAGGATAGACGGTGATTAGGGATATCCACGTATTAGACTCTGGTGCGTAACCCCCGGACGTAGAGGTGTTGTATTGCCCCATATACTCATTATTGTGTATCATACTTATGCGCTACTTAATAATAGAAGTCTACAGAGCTGCAGAGTACAAGTTGGATGCGGATACGCACTCAAGTACAATCAAGTACACTATAGAATACCACCTCTAGAATGAATAGGGGACAGTGGGAAGGGTTTAAGTGTCTTTATGTGTCATTTTTGGCCAGGCTTTGATATCATTTTAACAAAGAAGATACATTTTCTTTCTCAAATGTATATTTGTGAAAATACAAACTTTCGGGGGGGGGGGGGGGGGGGGGGGGAAGCGATTGGCATTGGTATTGTCATTGAAAAATGAAAATATGATTGTTCCCATCCCTGCTTTTAAATTTCATGGCTGTATTGCAGGCGGTTGGTTGTAAAAGTTCTGAAATGTGTTTTTATTTAAATTGTAAACCATGGACTAATCAATGACATGAGAAGAGCCTTAAACATCAATTTATTTTGGTAATCCCCAGGCATTCTTTGATAGTAATATTTTATTTGATGTTTCTTTTGTCAATTTATGTAACTCCAGTTCATGTGTATTTTTAAAAAATAAAATAATTACAAAATTCTTTCCCTTATTCTCTTTTCTGTTTGTTTTTGTTTTATAGTGACCCGCAAAATATATATCTGATCATTTATTTTCTGTTTTTGTTTGTATGGTAATGACTATCGGATAACATTTTTAATGTGTGGTGGTTTGAAAGGGCGCAAATAAAATTAATAATATTTTAATTTTCACCTTCAACATCAGTATCACAATCATCAAAGTCATCATCGCCATCACGATCATTATCATCACCATCACCACTATTAACATCACCATCATAATCACTGTCATGATCATCGCCATCACCATTGCCATCATCACAATCACCATCAGCATCATCACCATAGCCATCATGATCATCCCCATCACCATCATCATAATCACCGTCAGCATTATCACCATAGCCATCACGATCATTGCCATCACCATCATCATTATCACCATAGCCATCATGATCATTGCCATCACCATTGCCATCATCATAATCACCAAAGCCATCATGATCATCACCATCAGTATTATCACCATAGCCATCACAATCATCATAATCATCATCCTAATCACTGTCAGCATTATTACCATAGCCATCACCATCATCATCATAATCACCGTCAGCATTATCACCATTGCCATCATCATAATCACCGTCAGTATTATCACCATAGCCATCACCATCATCATAATCACCGTCATCACCATAGCCATCATGATCATTGCCATCGTCATCATCACCATAGCCGGCTAAACACAAAATATATTATTAAGACTCCTACTAATGATAAATAATTATAAATGAAATTGGACTAGGAATAATATTTCCATTTTATAATATTCATATTTTATTTATAAACTGACTTTGACTTGTATGTTGAGAACTTGAGACCAGTGAAAAAAATACACGGGCTCAGGACGAAATAGCCCCCGAAATGCCCAAAAGAGCCCCCGAAGATCAGAAAAGAGCCCCCATAAATTTGCATAAAGTTCAATGCAAAACAAATTTTAGAGTGTTATTTTTACGCAGGCAAGCTTGAAAAGTAGCCCCCGAAAAATAAGTACTAATTTTTACCCTGCTTGAGACCATTACTTGCATAACATGTGTCACTGAGAATAAAAGTATTATCCGAGTAAAACATCGTTAAATTGTATAACGGTGACAGTTCAATCAGTTTTTTATTATAATAAATGCTTTGTTCATGTAAAGCTCAGGAATCCCACCTTCGAAGTATCACTATCAGAGATACAAAAATGTAATCACTTGAAATGGATTTTTCTTTTACTGAAAGAATAAGCTGAACAAAATCCTTCTTGTCCTTCTCCCAAACTCCGCTTTCAAGATTGTTTGTTCCTACATGTATGTGAAGTCTAGCAAACGCTGATTCAGGAATGCAATGGAGACTGATGTGTGAAGTCTGTGTCTTAGCTAATTTGTTGTCAATGTTCCGCAAGTTCGATGGTTGAGTGCATCCGTCAGAAAAACAACAACATCTACATCTAAGGTGGTACTGGACAGGACCAATTGTTATATACGTCCAGACTTCCGTGGCATCGCAAACTGTCAACAAACATCACAACTGAGGGTGCAGAGTTCAAAAATAAAAATAAAAAGGTGCTCATAAAAATACAGTTGGTTGCAGACATCATCTAATTTTTAGATGAAGTAGAGCCACATCGACGCTCTAGCCCGCCTGTGTACAGCTGCGCTGAGTGGTCATTCTGCATGTAGCTCCAAACTTTGGTATGGAAAGACTTGGCTGATGTTGACTTTGATGATGGTGGCTGCCGGCTCGTAGTTGATTCCATTACGAGGATAGAAGCTGTTCTTGTATTCTTCGGTCCTGGCAAATGACAAATGATAAGAAGGAATATAAAATTGCTTAGTTCAGGTATGGGGATTTTAAAAGATCTGATGAAAGTAGCTGTCAATTTATGGTAGACAAAACCTGCTTGCATTAAAAAATTGTTTTTAATGAAAACAAATTACAGGTGTCAAATTCATGAAATTTTCCCTTCATTTTTCCACATGTGCACAAGTTGTAAAATGTAAGTGTTTAACTTTGGCTTTTTGTTTCAATTCTGCTTTGTTCATAATCATAATACAACTCGCACAAGGGAAATGCTGCTTATTTCTATGGCTGGTTGTAAAGTTTGAGTTGACCAGAACCAAAACAAAAGGCACAACCAAACTAGTTTGAGAATCCCTAAATTAATAATATAATTATCTGAGTCTGACCAGACGCCAGAGTCACTGTTTAACTCTCACAGTTAACTGTTAAATTCGTGTAAAAATAAAATGGATTAAGCATAAATATTATCAAGAGAGCTTGCTAATTTAATGGAATAGTACACGTAAGTCGAGGGCCCCAGATCAGATATGGCTTTGTTTTATGCCGGATCGGTACAGAAAAGGCTATGTATGGGACCGGTACGCGGTCACGGTGATGACTACGAAAGTGCGGCCATGTTGGCGAAACGTACACTTTTCGCGCCATATCGGCAAAAATGAGTGATTTTAACGTAGCCGTCACACAACTTCCGGTTGAAAATCGAAAAATGTGTAACTTTCATGGCCATAAAAGCTAATAAAATACATCGTGCATCAATCGAACTCTGCGCTTTTTCACTTCTGCCAACATTTTTCTTGTGAAAAATCAAAAAATTGGGGAAAAACATTGCTAATACCAGTCAGGAACACGCTAAATGCAAGGTAATGTCAGAATACCTCCTACGAAAGAAGGAAAATATGGACACATTTCAATGAATATTTACAATCACTTAGATGCGGTAAAATTAGGAAAATTTCATATCAAAATACGTAGAAAAGTATGGAGATTCACTTACCCCTACATGCTACGCAGCACAGTAAAAGCCATAGCAGCTGTGATAAAGTTTGTTGACCTGTGCAAAAGTCTCACGAAATCTCGCAAATCGCGGGACACGAAATACGACGGTTTATCGCACTTCCGGGTGCTGTGTAAATTTGGGCATTCTGCCTAATTATCGCGGGCGTTGCGGACTGACTGATACGAGCTGGAGATCAGAATGATATGTGTTTCATTGCTGGTTCCAATGCGCGTGTGCTTTATTTATTCCTTCTCTCTCATACGGAAATACAGGTCGGTAAATATGACGCTTTATGTTTGGCCGTATTGGTCAGTTGTTTCCGCATTCCAGAGGTCCGTCGTACATGAATGACAATAGAGTTCAAAGCAAAAACAACAATAAAAATCAACGGGGATGTATCATTTGCTAAACCGAAATGAATGAATTACCTCGATCGGCTTTGTGACTCTTTCCTTATCAGGCAATCGAGATGCAAGGCCTATAACGGGGGTGTGTTTTTCAGTTTCTAATCTTCGGGGATTACACAAGTATGAGATTAGTTGAGATAACTTAATCTATTAAACCATTATGAGACCCTTATCACTGAGTGAGTACACATGACTGTATATAACTGGGTGTCATCTTGTCATCTCAAATAGAACATGCTGGGAGGGAATTTCCAATCCCGGTTTCATGGCTTGAAAAACAAATAAGATCGTGATAAAAAAAAAAAAAAACTCGTATTCCTCTTCCTCTATTATCACGGTGTGATGTTTTTCACGGATAAACTGTTTCAATATGGCGCCTATGTGATTTGAATTATGTAACATTTTCAGAAATATACCTTCAACCTTGTTTATCACATAACAACAACTTGCAGAAATCATGAAAAACGAAAATGGAATATGTTAATAAATGAATATACTTTAAATCCTTTTATTCTTTCAAAGAATACAAACATATATGAGTTCACGAACACCTCGTAACCAGAACAGGTAACTAGTTCTTGTCAGATGGTTGGATTCGAAGATGTTCCACTGTTTGCTTCCGTTACATTTGTATTAGGAGTCGTAGTAGTAGTATAAGTAGTAGTAGTAGTAGTAGTAGTAGTAGTATTAGTAGTAGTCTTAGTAGTAGTGTACTAGTAGTGGTGGTAGAAGGAGTAGTAGTAGTAGTAGTAGTAGTAGTAGTAGTAGTAGTAGTAGTAGTAGTAGTAGTAGTAGTAGTAGTAATAGTAATAATAATAGTAGGAGTAGTAGTAATAGTATAAAATAGTAGTAAATGTATATTAGTAGTAATTTTAGTACTTATATTTGTATTATCATCATTAATTTTATCGTCATTATTATTAATAACACTTTGAGCACGTCAATGACAAGCAAAATGTACTATTAAATGAGAAATACATCTTTAACATGTCGTGTAGAAGAGGGAGAGATTGAAAGGTAGCAGATAGAGAAACAGATAAGGAAAACAGTGAAAAGGGGCCTGGATGGGAACATGACAAAGTTGACATGTCTAAAATAGTAAACGCGTTTTACAATTTGCATTATCCTTGATTGGTTTAAAAATCAAATACACATTTGGTTTTCTCCAAATCACTTCACTTCCCCATACAAAAATCGTATTGCTGCATTATTATAAGGAAATAATAGTTGGTTAGCTGTACCCTAATTGTTTTAGTCTAAAAAAAATTGAGACGCAATCTCATGAGGATGGACTTAATAAAGGTGATTGCTTTCCTATTCAATATTGTGATTTAAAATATCTCTTAATTGTCCAAACTAAGCATGGCGCTTTCATATAGGATTCTACATTTTATGTATACCGGAATAAAATGAACCGAAAAGTGGTTTTTAAAAAAACCCTTAAACCCTCACAGCCTTAGAGTACTGAGCGCCTCTCTTGAAAGTTCATAAAGTTCACAACTTGCCACCAAAATGATACAATATGTTATAATCCTCGCGTTACTGGTGTTTCGATATTATGTATCATTCAATCAATCATCTATGAATTAAATTAGATTTCAGACAATTAGATTCATAATCGTGGTGCTCTATAAACTATTGGCATGCAACAAGTCTGCTGCATACAGACCCAATTTCATAATCGAAAAGTCTTTCGAAAACTTTCGAAAACTCAACCTAACGTATTGTATATATCAAAATTAAATTATGTTCGTATTACGTAATACGCCATGTTAATGTTTGCACAATAGGCGATGAACAAGGCTACTGCAATTGTTATAGGTTGAATTTTCGAAAGTCTTTGCTACCACGTTCAATCGAGCCAATTCAGAAAACGAACGATAAGTGATAGACTAGGGTATTGAAAGTGCTTTAGGTTGAATTTTGGAAAGTCTTTGGGACCGTGTTCAGTTGAGCCGATTCGCCGAATGAAGCATGTCGAGTCCATGTTGGATTAACTCAGCAATAAACCATAATGATACGACATTTATTTATATTCATGTTTATTTTTGTAGCGAACTGGTTCATATGGAAATGGCTGTATCAGCTATCATCACACAGTGCTTTTGAAAATTAATTAGCAGTTTGACGTCATTGACGTATAAATAGGCCGAGTTGATGACGTAATAGCAGCGAGCCTCATCTGAGCCGGCTATCACCTGACCGTTCTCCCCATTTCCTCATTGCGTTGATGATACTGTTTTTCGTCATGCGAAAAGTTAAAAGTGTATCAAGCGCCGAACCCCTCCTCCCCCCCCCCCCCGGCCCTCGATCTCCTCGAAAAATGATAAAAGATACGTGTCGGGTACATGAATTCTCTTTCGAGTTGATTGATTATTATTATTATTATTAATATCATTATGATAGTTGTAATTGTTATGATTATGATTATCAGTATAAGTATTATTATTTTCATTATCATTATTTGAATTATTGTCGATAAAATATAATTATTAGTGTAAAGAAACGGGACTGAAATATGCTCTTTGTAAAAGAGTAGTTCTATGAATGTAATTTATCTATTCGTATAAACACAAGTTTAGTTTACTTTGCCTTTCTAAAGGATTGTTTAGTGTGAATGCAATCCTGAAGTGATTGATACAAGTGTCATTCGTTAAGATTAAGTTAGATTTCGACGATTTTATATATAGTGTAGTAATCAAGTTGACTATTTTCCATTGTATTAATGTTTTCCTTGATTTTTTTTTTTTTTTGGTAAAGCTGATACAATTAAAGAATGAGAGAAATAAAACATCAGAGACCCAGCCAGATAAGTAGAATTTAGAAGTAATGGAAAAGAAAGACAAACAAAGAAAGCAACAGCCTCAACAATACGCAAAGAATATTAAAACAAGGCGTATTAAAAATGGAGTGTTGTTTAAAGGAATTGACGCATTGAAGTAAACGTAGTAAACGTATGGCAATCACTTATCAAATAGAGAAAATGGGATTTTGAGGTCGTACTTTTCTAGAGCAATCAGAAAATGATAGTAGCGATTAATGATGACAAATTCTTTCTGTGCTATTCAAATTATTTCTTTTTGGCAATGGTGCATCTTTGATTTCTTTGTGTAATTTGTACTTCCCTTAATCACTATGTCTTTATGAGGTACAGGAAACCCAATTGCTAGGCTTCTCCAAATTTTCAGACATTGTTTTCATGGGTTAAGAGAGATCTTAACAATGGGTACTCGATATTATCAAACAACTTTGACGGAGAGAGGGAGAGGGAGAGGGAGAGAGAGAGAGAGAGAGGGGGGAGAGTGGAGAGAGAGGGGTGGTGTTAGTGGTGAGGGGGATTTCAGGATCAACAGGATCAATAGGACGTATTCAGTTTTTTTAACATTTTATGTTGCAGTGAGGGAGCGGGAAAGAAACGAGAAATACATTGGCATATTATCGAGGGGTACAAATAAGAGGGGTTTAAATGCCCATTCCCATTTTACCTATACGAATGAAGATCTTATTATGTTAATCAACATTTTAAACAATATAGAAATATTCGTAAACACACGATTCAAAAGTACCTTACAAAATGATTTCATATTGTTTCAGCATACGACAGTTGAAGAAGTAGAATAAGAATTGCCAGCTCGTCTCGCTCGCTCGCTCACTCGCAGATTGCATTCCAGAATGCATTAACCTACAGGATTGATTAGGGAAAATATTCATAAGACACCATAGAAGTATTAATGATAAAGAGACTTAAAAACGAAATTCCCCATGTAGCGAATTTTATACATTCAACTTTTCCTGTGTAATTAGACCTCTTCGTTCTTCTTATACGATATGATTCCTCACCTGTTCGAGAAAATAATAGTTCTACCACCCCTGAAGAACCAGGACCCAAACTGCGGTTTTCTTGCTGAAGAATCGTCATCAACTCAGTTGCTCCCCACCCCTTTCCTCCCCTAAACTTAGGTCTTTATACGCCACTGAAGCACTAGCGGTTCTAGAAGAATAATGGGGAGGGGGGGGGGGGTTGGGAGGGTGTAGGGGTTAGGAGTTCTTCCACCCATTTTCTTCATGTGCCCCCCCCCCCTTCTCCAGAACGGGAACTGCATTGGAGAGAGGATAATTAATGAAAACGGAAACTAAAATGCTATAAGCGATGAGTTAAGTAAAGAAAGGAGAATATGTTTGTAAAACAGAGAGTGTTTCATGGTTTGATTTCTGTTCGGATGAAACGGGGTCTGGAACGAGACCAATACATCCATGCTTTGAGGAGGGGGCAGGAGGAGGGGTAAATGCAGGGGTCACATTAGAGCGTACGAACACAGTACAGTGGGGGTTGCGTGAGACGGGGGCAGGAAGATTAACGTTTTACGTGCTTCCGCTATTTCGTTACGTTCTGCTACTGCTGACTCTCGTCTAGTTCAACGCATTCTAGATCATAGACTGGTTCTCTCACATCGTTTCCTATTACATGGACCTATCTCTGTTGGCTTCAAATAACGACACGACGCCCCCGTCTCGTCTATAGAAAACCAGGCTCTCCTTATTTCTGAGATTTTGTAAAAAATAAGCTTGACTCTAATTACTATCAACCTATACCAACCGAGAAAAGGAAATCGAACGGACTTGTAAATATGCGAATATTTCAATTGTGTCTTCTTTGAAAGTTTAGATTAAGTTCGTTTGGTTTGTTTCTTGCGGCATTGAAAGTTCATTTGCTACCATGACGCGGATAATTTTACTCGTGTGTTTTCTAGCTGGATTAATTGTGCGAGATGTAGCAAGCAATCCTGTCAATTGTGTGTAAGTATAAATTTGTCTACTATAATCAAATGAATAAGTAATAAAAAAAAATGTATGTTAATTTCTTGAGTCACCTATTAAATATGTGTATGAACGAATGGACACTATATTTTTTCTGTATCATGTTTAAAATATAAAATATGCAAGAACAAGTACCACATTATAAAACTACTGTTACATTTTAGAATTAAAAAATTGAAATCTGTAAAGAAGAAAATCTAACAGGGCAATGTGTATTCAGTGAGTGAAAGATTGACAAAGATCTCAAATCGCTCTGATATTTACCGAATGAAATGAATCATTTCTATTTTCAATTGGTCTATGAACATTAATGACATCAAGGTTTCAAATTCATTGCCCCCCCCCCTCTTTTTATGGGGGGGGGGGAGTCTGGGCATCTCGTTCTCAATGTTGTTAATTGAAATATCATTTTTTAAATAATTTATTTTAGTAGACATTTCCACTTCAGAATTTCTAAATACCAGCAAGACAGGGATTCTATTTTCAATAAAATGTATCTTTTTCTTTAAGAGATCAGTAGATAATCGGTCATGTGTAACCGAATATGTCCATGTCCATTGCTCTGTTATAGAGTCAGGGTAGATCTTGTATACATTTTCGGATATTTTTGGTAATTCCAAAATTCTCGTTTAACCCACACGTTTCATCGTAGTTATCTAAGAGAGAGAATTTTTTTTTTTTTAATTTCTAAATGACTGGGATAATTTAAATTACAATTCGGAAAGCGTCTATTTTAATGATCAAATTCATCGTTCGAAAGTCCTCGAAAGGCTGATATGTTTCAAGAGTTTGACTTTGGATTTAGACATGTTAGGCCTTTATGAAGACGTGACAGTTATCCTATTTGATTTGTCTAAGGAATCATTGTCATCATTGTCATGTCATGTGGGTTAATAGTTCGTCTGTTAATAATTTGTTTCTTGTAAATTAAAAAGAGAAAATACTTTAAGGGTTGTTCCACGAGCGTATCCTCATATGTAATCAATTATAGATTTTATTTAATTCGCACATTGTGATGTGAATGTACATGTATATTTCAGTATAAAATTGATTGGGTCTATACAAATTAAAATACAAAAATAAATTATTATCATTAACTATTATTTTGAGAATATCGAAAGTTTCGTTATTTCGCTGCATACCCCGCATCGCCTCTTCACGTGACCATCGTCATCATCAAACCTTAATTGAGTCCCGGAAACAGGGTTGTGTCAGATATATTTGTTTTCCTATCCATGGAGGAGGGGTAAGGGGACCAGAAATATTTGGCTCTCTTTTTATCCAGTTTACAATTACACATTCTTGGCAAATATTTAACTTCCTAAATCCCTTATCCGCGCCCCTATTTAATTTCCGTGCCCGTTGTACTGATACTGTGGTCAAGGGATATATTGTTTGCATTTACGGTTATTTTTAGGAACTCCTTTCACGGTATCATTATATTCTGTTTGGAGTCATAGATATGTCATGATAATCATCATATTTTGTAAGGTATAGTGTTACGCGTGAAATTAATATGTATGTCGTAATATATCATATTAATTTATTTTATGCACGAATCGGGTTTGATATTTCATGTAGCTTGGGGATTTAGGATTATATACTTTGTATTTTGAGATATTATTTTGCATATCATCTATAGTATGATTTGATTATACAAACAAAAATGAATAGGCTTCGCATTTTAGGGGCATTCAAACAGGAACAACAACAATAACAACAACAACTACTACTGACTGGCGATTCACTAAGGTTTATTTTTGATTGATTCTTCATACAACCGTTCTAACTAAGTTAACTAGCAGAAACAGTGTGTCATAATTATACTCAGCTATATTTTTGATCCAACAAAAAATGATCTCTTAATCAAACTAAAAAAATCGATCGTTGATAGTTAGCGCAGGACCGTAAGTGTAGTAATCAATATATTCCTAGTGTATTGGTAAGCCAATGGATTGAATACTTTCATGGATGATCAAATTGACTAATCAACTGCTTGTTATAGTAATGCTAATTGTAAGTGCATAATCAAGTAAATACATAATGTATGAAAAAACAACTACTATTATTTTTCAATGTGGTATGCATTTTTCACTTATTTTTAAAACAATCTTTCTACTATGTTTTCTGCCAGCAATCGTGATGGGAGCTTAGGACCAATTTTTGACTGTCTACAAATAGGTGAGTTTACTTTTATATGTTTATAGATTTGAGACAAACAGTGGAAAGTAAAACCACTTTTCAATCCATTAAAGAGAAGGTTGAGTTCTGGGAAGAGGTAAAAGATAATTTGTGACCGTTATCATTCTTATTATGCAAGTGTGCAAGAACATCAGATAAGACATGTTCCCTGAAAAGCATGGCTCTTCAAATGCCTTCATATTCTAAATATGTCATGTAACATCGTAAAACTCAGGGGTAGGATTGTTACGCCACGTGTTCGTGTAGTCCCATATAAATCTTTCTGTGTACAGTGTTTGTAACTTCACCAAGACTTGGCCAAATTTCTTATCATTTTGATGATTCCAGAACCTTGCAATACACACATTTTTCTTATATGCTAGATGATCAACCTTTTCTGGTCGATTCCACACCGTTTCTTTCACAATGCAATCGCATGACCAGAACTCAACTTCATCTTTAAATTGCTTGGAAAAGTCAACCTAAAGGCAATTGTAATGGCCTTGTACGTTACATTTTTGAAGTTTGACATTACGATAATTATATCACTCAATGTTTCAATGGGACATAGAATAGGATATTCAAATTGCACTTGACTTGATTGCGATCGTGTTACGTATACAATATGTTTATTATGCATGATAGACTTGATAAAGGAATTTCCCCTGCATCGAATGTTATGCATTCAACTTTTCTTGTGCAAGACCTCAATTTCATGGTGCATACATTTGTGTATACATCCATAAGCTGGTAGAACATGTGCCTCAGAGGAATATATCATGCGTTAATGTTGTGATAAATGAGCAATTGACTTTTTTCTATTTGTATCTTATTGCATTTATGAAATTTATTACTAAAAACTGTCTTAATTCGAGCACATGCTGTAAATAGTTGGATCTCTGTTTCCATGTCATGGCTATCTTGCTACATTTCCAAAGTATTACTGAATCTTTTTTTCTCCAAGCCCCTAAAATGTCAAGCTGCATGTTTCAATTGGCTTATGCTCAGAAGAAATACATTTTTTTCTCTCTCCCTCTCTCCTTTCCTCGCTCTCTTTCTCTTTCGCTACCCTCTTTCATCACCATGATCATTGCCACTATTTGAACAGGCTCTTTTGTTCTTACATAAAAACTAGCTTACATGGTAAAACTATATCATAACCATTGATGTATGGGTACATCTCCTAGGTCCGCAAGAAAAGCGGGAGAAACCCGAACCACCCGAGAAACCGGATAGACGAGAAAGGCCGGAGTTTCCTGAATCGGAGCTTTATGAGCCGGAAGAACCGGACATCGAGGAACCCGAATACCGTGGACTGGGATGGGGGACTCCAAGGCCTTGTCCACCGGGGAACAAGAACTGCAATCGAGATGGAAATGGCGGTAATGAACATACTGCTGCTGATGATGATGATGATGTTGTTGTTGTTGATGTTGATAAAACACGACGTTGGTGGTGGTGGTGGTTGTGGTGGTGATGATGGGGATATAAATTATGTATAATAATAGTATTAACTTCAGGAAATTAAAAATGACGACATTTCTAACGCCATTCGACAGCTATAAAAAGACACAGTATAAACATATTATAGAGAGGGATTGGGAAATTATGAAGAAAAAAACACTATTCAATCCAATTCGTAAATATATTATAAGAATGATTTATAGAATGATTTACAGAATGATTTTTTTTGTTATTGTTTTGTAATTGATGGAGACCGTTAAACTATAAGTTTTGGTTTGTCCGTAGCGGATTCTCCTCATTTACAGTTCTCAGATTAGCTGTGAAGTCCCCTAGTGAATAATTATTTGCAAGTGAATACTCTGTTTTCTTTTGATTACAAGTTTGTGTTAGATTGTTGTTCAATAATTAACCACGACCGAATTAATGTTGGTTTAAATGTAAATAGGAAAGACACGCTAAATACCTGTTGATTTTGACAAATAATTGTAATACATTCGTAGATACATAATACACAATCCGTTTATTATACCCTTTATATCGCGAGTCGTCAGGAATAAACATGGGTATTAAAAGAGGAATTGAGAATGTTTAGTCTCGCAAAAATATAAATGCATAAATGTGAAAAACAAAGCAGACCACGCTAATTTTGACATATCTAGATTCAAAGTAACAATCATAGGTTGCTGCTATGATGTCATAGACTGTCACTCAGAATGGTAACATTTCTTTGACCCTATTTCTTGCAGGATCCCATGGAGTTATGGGAGTTTACAAGGCAGCAGCGTTCATTGGTGTCGCTATCCTCATCGCAATCCTTGTCACCATTCTCAGTCTTGTCATATACTGTGTGTGGAAACGAAGACGAGACAGAAGTCCTACTGAAATGACTAACGGGTATGTATTTAAGAATTTGTAATGAAGATTCAAATTCACATTAAATTCCTTTCTAAAGTTAAATCGTTGAGTTTCATATAAATCACTGAATGTAATAGTGTAATTACAACAGACGGTGTCATTTTAAAGATTTTGTAGGTGTTTTTTTATACTGACTTTGTTTTCTTCAATACCATATAGCACAGCAGTAGTGGGCTGATTATCCGTATACACAACATTTTAAATGTGGACAACTTGGAACATTTCCTGTGCATGAAGGCTTCATTGAATATATATGAGTGAGGGAAGATTTTTGCTGATAAGAATTACTCCATATGCTTCTTCATATATTAAAAGCTTTTTGCATCATTGTAGATAGCTGATTTATTTCGTTAGCAATTAGCCTATATGTTTCGTTGCTTCGTATCAATGTCATTGATTTTTATTAGCGTAGATATAATTTGCAAGCTAATAATATCAAACACAGATCATAAATTGCTTACAAATTGAATAAAAAAAAACTCCATTCTATGCTATACCCTATCCCCCCCCCCCCCGCCCTTCCCAAACAAGTATTGTCGGGTGAATTTTACCTAGACAATCATTAAAGTAAAGTTATAAAAGCATTAATTCATCTTGAATGTTGGTTGAAAATGTTCTCCCTGACAGTATAAAGATATCGAATGGAAGCCACGGATACGCCACACCTGGTGAGAAGTGCCCCATGAGAGGGTGCGGGTCGGGTAAGAATCCAAACTTTTTAATCTGTTCTAAAACCTTTAACCCCAATCATTCCCTATCCTTTGAACATCGCATGCGGTTAACCATCCCTCTTTTCCATCCACACCTAAAACACTTTAATAGATAATGACCATGTAGTGTGTATCTGAATATATTTCATATTTTGGGTAAATGTTCCCCATATATTCACTCTTTCATAGTATTTTTTTTTTTTTTTTTTTTTTTTTTTGCTTACTGTATTTTTATTTCGAGTTATTTTTTTCTTAACGATACGTATATTCATGCATGAGCTATCTTGTTTTATTTCGCGTTTAATTTAAATGGTAAAATTTTGCCAAAGTTGCCAATATAATATATGTAAATAAAATTATGACAGTGGCATTCCCCCGCCTTCGTAATATCTTATCAAGTTAATTCTACAAAGTACAGTACATAATCATAGTTATATAGACCTTTAAATCGTTCAAATTAAAATGCAAAAACCAAAAGCCCCTCTTTTATTAGAGCTCCTCCCTTTTTAAAAAAAATCATTCATTTTCGAACAATTGTTCTTTAAGCTTAGTCTTTTGATAAATGAAGTTGTCGTTATTCTAAAAAACGTTGATATCATGTTCAGATTACATTTACGTAACACGTCATGTTCATGTTCTCACATTTCCCATAAGTGACGCAGTTCAACAGGACTATTGAAATTGCCATATAGGTTGATTTTCGAAAGTAGTTTCTATCGTGTTACATATAGACCATCTAATCTGCTCTAAATCACGTTTTACTTTCCTTTGTCGTTCGCAACCAATTTTTAATTTCCAACATGTTTTAAAAGATTAAAAGATCCATTTGTATTTTTTTTTAAATCAGCTTTATAGAATGTTCATATAAACGTGGAGTATCATCCTCTGTTTATACAGTTTTTTTAATGTATTAATTATTATTATTATTATTTTTTTTTTTTTGTGGGGGGGGGGGGTATAATCATTACGATAAATTACTAGCTAGCGTGCTCTAACCTAGAATGGAGGATGAAGTTCAAATCAACACATGCCCAGTATCCCTGTGAGTCAATGATCAGTAATCAAATTAAGGGCAAGAGACCATGTGTGTCACTTATCAACCGAGGTAACACTCCTACGTCAATCCACCTCTCAACTCATAACTATCTTGATAATAATCCCATCCGCGTGAAAGCAAGTCATGTTCGTGGTCCTTGTCAAATCAGCTCAAATATGGATTCAGACAATCAGTCATTTCAGTAGGATACCTTTATTAAGTATAGCACTGTTTGTGGGGTAATATAAACTATGATATCATATGATATGATATATGTTGCTTTTACCTATTTTGTCAAAAATAGATAGAGACAGTCGGTATGTGTATTATTGACCCCTTTACTTTGAAAATCCATAAATATCGAAATAATAGGGAGAAGGATAAGAGGAGAAGTGCTAAAGGGAGGGAGAGATCAATGACGCACAACACACATCCGCGCACGCACCTTCCAGCCACTTTGGAAAGTTTGACATGAATGATAGCTACTTGAATAGTGTTGCGTCCCAGTGTGTCCCAGAAAAAACGAAACCAAAAATTATCGATGTTTTATCATAACTGAATCATAATCATAATTGATAAATGACACATATTTGTAAAGCTTAGATCCTCCTCTTTCATTTGATGTAACATTACGATGCATATTTCACGTATGAATGATTAAAATGAATTTGAAGAGAGGTTACCAAAAAGTCTTTTGGCGGACGGTATCTGAATTTCAAAGAGAATATCACATTTCCAGAAAGTTGAGTTTATGCCCTTTCATATGACACCTCAATCAGGAAAAATGAGCTAGGAATAACAAAGTTATGTTTTTTTAAAGTAGTGCTTGCATTTCCATAATTTTATTAAACGAATTCGTTTTCACTGGCTGCCTTCCGTAACAACAAACGGAATTAACAAAAGACTTAACTCCGTTTCGTTGACAATCAGCCGTAGACGAAAGACTTCATGCATGGCTGATCGTCAACGAAACGGAGTTAAGTCTTTTCGCGTGAATCACATTCTGTTGGAATTCCGCTAGTTGCTTCCATGATATAACTTGGTCATCTTTAATGGCAGGGATGGCTCGTCTTCAGGTAACATGAAAAGGCCTGGGGGGGGGGGGGGGTGGCGGAAGAGGGGGTTTATTATCCTCTTTTTTTACTTGTGTTCTTTCTGTTTTCCTTTTTTGTTTTCTTTTGTACGTTCAATTACGGGGCATGCGCCCCATAATCTTGTTAACTTACCACATTCCTTTCATGTTACCTGAAGACGAGCCATCCCTGCCATTAAAGATGACCAAGTTATACCATGGAAGCAACTATCAGAATTCCTACAGAATGTGATTCACGCGATGTCATTTAGTGGCATTGTTACAGGATGTCGCTCATTATGCTGTGTGTTCAATTTGAGTTTGTACAAATGAAAAACTTAGAGAGAAGACTGGATTTTAACACGAACATTTAAACCAACCAACGAGAAAATACAGAAGAATCGGGCGAAGATTTGTGCTGACACCCCTGACAGCCTGTCAAGAGTCTAAACAAAATCGTTAAAAATGAACGAAGCAAGGATTAGAATTGTATGCAACTAGGATTTAGCGCGTATATTTAAAAGTGAATGATACACTGTGAAAGCTATACAACAACAGTCAATGACTATTGATGAATATTAATGATTGGAGTAAATCGAAACCATGGAAGAAGTTACCCCCAAACTCGATTATCATATATAAATAAATCTACTTCAAGTGTAGAGTTGATCCCTGTTTATTATTTGTAGTAGAAGTGAATACCCCGCCAAGCTGTTAAGTGTATATGACACAGTTTTATCCTTAACATTTCATTCAGTTGGTTGTATCCTCTCAGTGATCCTAATATATAAGATGACGAACTTGACCCTAGGATCCCCTCCCCTTAGGGATGAAATATAATGTAATGTAATTAAGTAAGATCATCACCTATTTCTAGTGGCCTGAGAGGAGAGAGGAAAACCCTCTACCGAAAAGATCCTAATCGGAATACATTGACGTTCGTTGTGATTATTTAGGAATGACGTCAGGACGATGTTGCAATGATCATCCACAAATGGAGAATCGTGCTATAATAAACGTATGCTCAAAACACGTGATGTCTTAGTCAGAATATATGACATGAAGAACATGATGAGTTTGACATGATGAGGAAAAGATGGTCTGCAAAGGACACAATAGTACGCAAAATGTTTAAGTCATTCGATAGTATGAAATAATTAATTTGGTTAATTTTAGGGTGGTATAATTTAATTAGCATTTTTTTTTTTTAATTGATAGGGTGCTTAATGAAACTGGTGTTTCTTGGATAGGTCCACACCTATTATTTCACCATTTATATAACTTCCTTTCAAAACGAGCTTTATTTAACAAGTGCGTGTTTGCATCACTAATATAGATACATCTACTTCACACAATGAATGGCATAGCCCCAAACCTCGATCAGAACGGGTCTTTACTTTTTCATACTGTGCATGTTTACACTACAACAGTTAACCCCCAGCATTTGCCAGGAAATAAATTAATGGAAAGGTTCCTGAAACCAGAGAGCTATTTCGAGGCGAGAATTAGGGCTAAAGTGTCATGTATTTGGACGATGGTTGCATTAATGCTTAATTAATGTTTCCTGAGTTGTAGTTTTGGTATAATTAAACGAGATATTATCAGTGGAATCTGACTCGGTCACATGCATTAGCGAAACGAACACTCCCTTCATTATGTATTACAATGTCAAAGTGATGTGTTTTCCCCCTCCCTATTGTGCTTTCAAGAGGCTATAATGATATATTAATGCTGTAATTACAATTTGTGTTTTCATTACATTCCATAATAATCATCGATTCACAATTGTGTTCCAATACCTCCTGATTTTGTCTTTCTTAAATAACTCATGTCTTTGGAATTAAAAGCACGGATTTAGTGTAAAATAAATATTTTATTTATTTAAGACCTTGCATGAGAATGAAACAATAGAGAAAGTGAAAATGATTTATTATATTGGTTATTTCATGGAATTCTTTTGCACGGAGATGTTCTTCTCCTAATGGTCGTAATTGCAGTTGTATTTTAGATATAATCAAAGAAAAGTGATAACCATATGCTGAGAAAATTGATTACATTAGTTTAACGATAATGATGACGGACTGTGCTTATATTATGACGACCTCCTCCTTTTCTAGTAGAATTTATTGCATGTCAAAATGGTTTAAACTTTCGATGATGTACATGTATATGGCAAAAAAATATACATCAATTAATACCAAAGCAATAAACGGTAGTGGCATATTTCTAATCATCGAATATGAAACAAAAAGTTTTAGGATGGTCCAGATTAAAGGTAACTTGCGGATTTATACTTTTTAACTTTAGGAACTTTAGGAACTTTAGGAACTTTAGGAACTTTAGGAACTTTAGGAACTTTAGGAACCAAAGCCGATCATAATCATTAAAACTTAAGAATAATGATAGACAATTACTCGTAAGGCGCTGATAATGTAATTACATTTATTGATGAATTAATATATTGAAACGTACCAATATGTCCTTCGAATTAAAATTAAAATTTAATAATACAACCAATATTTTCTGCCATCACCTTGTTTTAGCTCAATATGACATACTGTACAGACCTCCCCATCAGGAAGTGGGTCCACACTAATTAATGGCTTCTAGTCCAACTACACTGTGGGTCATAATGGTGGAATATTTATTTTTACCCCAGTTTACGGAAGGATTTTTAAAAATTATTTATTTCTAATAGATCTAGATAATGGCATACATTCTCAGATTTTATTGAATATTAATTTGCGAGTGTTTGTTTTGCGTGACTGCTAAATCATATGTGTGCTACTATGCTAATCAGCTAGGTAACCTACGTCCTTAAATCATAATTGACAGTAATGAGGATTAATGCCTCACAAAAGGGCACTAATATAGCTGATCGACACGATTTTTATACTGGGGCCTCACAGTAACGAGGCCATTGCTTAGCCCCTGAATCATGACTGTACGCAGTGTTTGCTAGGGTACGCGGCCCCTTCCACAAATCCCCCAAAACGATGAAAATGCAATAAATTGTCAAAAAATCATTGCATTTTCCCCCGGCCCCCAACATAAAAAATTCCTCTGTAGGGCCACGCATAATGGTTCAAGGCATGGCCACACAGAGAAATTTTTCCTGTTTAGGAACTTTAGGAACTTTAGGAACTTTAGGAACCAAAGCCGATCATAATCATAATTTATTGCATTTTCTTCGTTTTGGAGGATTTGTGGGGCGGCCGCGTACCCTAGCAAACACTGCGTACAGTCATGATTCAGGGGCTAAGCAATGGCCTCGTTACTGTGAGGCCCCAGTATAAAAATCGTGTCGATCAGCTATATTAGTGCCCTTTTGTGAGCATTAATCCTCATTACTGTCAATTATGATTTAAGGACGTAGGTCCCTAGCTGATTAGCATAGTAGCACACATATGATTTAACAGTCACGCAAAACAAACACTCGCAAATTAATATTCAATAAAATCTGAGAATGTATGCCATTATCTAGATCTATTAGAAATAAATAAAATTTTAAATCTTTCCCTAAACTGGGGTAAAAAAAATTATTCCACCATTATGACCAACAGTGTACATTGGTCTGAGATTAAATTCCCTTCCAATCTTTGTCTTTATCTATTTTGATTTTACAGACGCTGTATGCACATGCATAAACACCAGTCACCAATGTTGTCAGCGAGCTAAGGGATCACGACAACATCCACATGACAACACACACCACTACGCAGGTCCTTCACACAACACAACACAACCCACCACTCCAGTTACCCGAACGCCGCACGTCATTCCGTACGCACAGTCAGAGGCATATCCATTAGCAATCCGAGGTGACAAGGGTGCTGACAATGTCGATAATCTCCGAGGATACATGGGCTTGATTAAAAGTCGTCCAGAAGGCGATCCCATACACCCGACCCCTCCCAACCACCCTCGGCCTGGTATAACACAGGCCGTGAATCACGAGTACCACATGCCACACCATAGTTCAGGTATTGTAGGAATGCAACGGATCAATCATCCAAATGAGCCACAGCAGACTTGCGCCCACTCCGGTGGCCGAAGCCCAGATCGTCGTGCACCCGATGCGGATCCATACTACTTCAAGCTAGATGATAGCCCGGACATGGTCCAACCGAGATCGATGATGCCAGATCGGAATGTCCCTGACCTCATCGCGAACCGGCCATTGACCTCGAAAGACCTGATACAAGAGAGATCCACACCCATGATCGACGAGAGAATGACACAAAGGGGCGGATATGATGCCATCTTTGTACAAGATGGTGCAAGTTCCAGTCCTTCATCACATGGTCTTGGCACTACTGAGGAAAGCTACGATAAACTGGACCGATCACGAAAATCGTTCAGACCTAGAGATGATAATGGGGATTATAACACTATATCTCTAGACGTACTCAAGATCTAAAATTGTCATGAAATAACACCGCCGTCGTATAAATAAGAGACAGCATTGATATAAAAACCGACACATCCGTATGTAGCCTTCCAATTGTAAATCGGAAACTAGAGTATGATATGAAATATATTTCGAATTTGCTTGGTTGTCACATTGTAATTGAGGACTTTAAACCTGTTTCTTACCCATGATACGTATGGCTAACGTGTATTGGATCTGAAAGTTTGGTATAACCTGTATTTTATCATTCATTCTAATTAAAGGCACACTGTCCTACTTGTAGCTACTTGCTCCCTCTATATAGAAAACTTCCCAAATCGGTGCCTGTTGGTCCCCCATGATCCTCTTTTTCTTATGTTAAATGAGAGCTGAGTTAATGAGATAGCCACCTGTCACAGTGACCTCGATGGCTCACTGGGTGGTCTAATCCCTTCTAGCTGAAGTAGTAAAGCTTGCCTTTAATATCAGTCTGAGGCCTGTTGACATTTTAATGCAATAATGTCCATAATGTTTGTAAAATGATGTGGGCAGTTTGGTGTGTGCAACACAACTAAACATCGACAATAATATCGCTCGCAATATTCGAGATGTAAGTCTGTTATCTTTTAGTATTCAGGCCAATGCTATTTTATTGAATTATTCCTATTCTGTATATAAGTTTATATGTATGATATTTCTCAGAACCTAAACAGCTTGCCTGTAGATAACGTTAATTGTCTGCTATATATGTATATATATATATAAATATACAAAAGTACATTGCAATGTATATTGCCGCTGTGTTAATATGTAAAGGTGTTATGATCGTTCTCAAATCACGTTTTATGTTTTAATGATAGATGAAAAAAAGTTATGTATACCATGTTGGGTATTTCATACTTTATCCCAGTGATTTTCCAGCAATGCAATTAATTGTGATAAAAAGTGAAAACAGAATCCAAAAATATTTTTCTACTGATATTTCCAATCTAGAAACCATTAATATGATCTCTTTTTTGTAATGAGTATTTCCCTTTACCTTAAAGGTAATACAAAGTTTTGGTAAATTTTGAAAATAGGCTGGATAGTGATTCCTTACAATTTTGATATATTTGGATGCCCCTATGTATTATAATTAGCACTAAACAAATTAGCCCATACAACACTCCTGCTTTCGAGATGAATTGAATATCAATATTTACCGGTGCTCCCGGGAAATTTAGGTAAATTTCAAATAGCGTCTACGGCCATACAATGATAGCTGCGACCATGAAAATCTCAGAATATGCAGTTGTGATATATAATTTCCAAACGGGTATTATTTATAATTTCATCACTTTAGACTCGATTTCAACCGCGACAAAGATCACTGAATATTGTAAGATTACATATGCTCCCAATATATTAATTTGAACCAAATTCATGACCCCCATACCACAACTTTGTATTACCTTTAAAGATTGTATAACACGATCAGACATGACATTTTGTGACTATAAACTTCCTTACATGGACTAAAATTACATGATACAATAACGTGAATAGAAAATAGTAACGAGCATCATAGTATGTAGATTTATTTGAAGAAATGTATATAAAAAGCGACATGGTCAGAACCATGATTTAATACTAAACAGTTCATATTTTATCTTATAATAAAATAAACCACAGGCAGTTATCGTATTTTCACGCGTTTTTAAAGCTTTCTCTGTATCGAGAGAGGCATTGCACTTTCTTGAGTATAGTATCTCTATTCTCTGCGAAATATTCTCAAGTGAGTTATCAAGATAAAGCATCACCATGTCATAAAGACCTCTCTTCCCTGAGGATATTCGAGTTTAGCTTTCTGTTTAAGTGTTATATATCTTCAGAGTAATTCTTCAATTGATCATCAAGTTTGTTCAAGGTAGTCCTTGGTTGTCATGGGACACCTTTGAGAGCTTCAGCACAAGGAGAAAGTAAACAACTTTTGAATAGGTCAATTTTGTTTGACAAAGAGCTACTTCAGTTCGAGGTTTCGAATTGTTCTGGAATTTCATTTACATTCAAAACGATGTTATATCGGTTACATTCTATCAGACCTGGAAGTGTATTTTAGCACACCTTTGAGGATAAAAAACGCTGCAAAAATTAATGAATGCTTCTTTTCCAAATTTTCGTGTCACATTAAAATGTTCAGCTACCATGAGAACTGCACGTACCAATAAAACCATATTGATTATTTTGTATGCACTCTAACTAAAAATCTAATTGGCTCATTCTAGTTTTGGATATGTTTGCCTATACCGAAATTACTTATTTATCTTATTTTCTCCCTCGCTGTCTCTTTCTCAGTGACTCTATCTCTCTCTTTACTCTCCCTTTTAATACCTTGCTTCATGAGTCCTCTCTATTTCTCACCCCCTCTCCCACACACAACCCACATACACACCCACCCACACTGTGGTGTCTAATGGACATCATTGTATTGATATATTATTGACTTGTATCCTTTCTTATGTATGACTTTGCTGTATAAAAGATTGATACAAAGTCCAATTAAACATGTCTAAACGTCTCATTCACTTTACGTTATCATGTATGGAATATGCGAGGGAAAAAGAGGTAAATTATAAATAAGCTTATACGATGAAATTGTCTAAGATGTACAAGAGCAATAGTTTTATTCATATGTACACCATTTAGTACAAGTTAAGATTATTTCAAGACTATTTTACAATTATTCCTTCTGTAAATACGTTTACAACGTAATGACACCACAAGTGATCAAATACTTTTCTACAAGAATACTTCATTCGTTATTTACATATTTACTATAAAAGAAAGTACTGAGTATAATTCATATATCATGTGCATCATAATAATTTATACTTCAAATCGTGATAAGTATACGAGGATTACAGAAATTTTCGGTTATCCTCTGAATAATAATAATAATAATAATTATCTGAATTTAATAATAATAATAAACGACATGTATTATGCGCGTAATACGGTTGTTTCTAAGCGCACTATTGTATGTCTACAAAATGTAATAACCAACCAAAACTCAAAATGAACACACGAATTATAATTATATCTGTTCTTTTTTCAATAAATCATGAATATCTAATTATACAAATTACATCAAACATAATTTATATAGCGCTTAATACGGAATACATTCTCTAAGCGCTTTATATATTATTACCCCAGTCATAGGATTCATTCACGCAAAATGTGCACCATCTCCACCCCCTGGGGAGTATTCCTTTCATGTGATCACCGTGAAGGCATAGGGAATTACTAACACAAATGCTTTCGTCATCCTACCGGGCCCCATTTCTCTCTTGGGTATTGAGTGGCAAATGCCTTGGCAAAGGACATAAGTGTCGTGTGGGGGATCGAACCACGACCTTTGATTTTCAATTCTAATGCTTAATCCACTCGACCGCGACACTTCTACTTGTACTTGTACTTGTACATGGTTACTGACAATTTTCTTGAAATGTCACTGTCGACTCTGTAATCGCTGCACAATAATCCATTTGAGCAGTTATGAAAATACAAGAAAGAACACAAAAATAATTTAACACGATTAAATGAAAGACAAAACCACTAGATTTCGGGATCTGTTTCTTCAAACTTTTGTTTATGTGCTTGTTAAAGGTAAAGACCAATTATGGTCATGCGATTGCATTGTGAAAGAAACGTTGTGGAATCGATCAGAAAAGGTTGATCATCTAGCATCTAGCATCTGCAAGGTTCTGGAATCATCAAAATGATAAGAAATTTGGCCCATTCTTCGTAAAGTTCCAAGCACTATACACAGAAAGATGTATATGGGACTACCCTATATCTCTCACAGTCCATGAGAGAAACAAATTTACCAAATATATGAATTAGTAGGCGGTTTCCCGGCAAATTTGTTATCATCATGTATTAGTCAAACATATTCTTTCACATGATTGGTAATAAGAGTTTCCATTTCATTTTTTGAAATGGGGCGTTTCCAATACTGGTCTTTACCTTTAAGTGTATTTTCATTAAGTTTTCTTGTATTTATGTTTATCTTTGTGGTTTTTGTGTTGTTTTTGCAAACACCCCCAAAATAAAGGGTGAAAATGACAAATGACATCGTTCAATGAAGCAGGAAATATAGGTACATGTAGATACTTGCAATGATAGTCTCGTAATCATATAGAAGAAGTATAGGCGCTCGCTATTATACTCATAAGTCATATACTTTGGTATATTATGATAAACACACAGGAAACAAATGTATGTGTGTATGTGTGACATATCAAACACTGATACCATCATTAGTACACTTCTTACATTTAATACACTTTTGTAATGATTTTGGATAGATTGTGCACTGTGTGCCTTCCTACACACTAAGAAAAAATGGTGCAACTATGCACCTTTAGGGGTTCAAACCGATGCAACAATAGCAGCACCTTTAGGGGTTAAATCCTGCACCCTTTTTAAAGGTGCAATCCTGCACCCTTCAAAAGGGTGCCAGATTGAACCTTTTGGGGGAAATTTTAGTACCCTTTATGGTTCAATCCTGCACCTTTAGGGGTGCAAACCGATGCAACAATAGCAGCACCTTTAGGGGTTAAATCCTGCACCCTTTAGGAGGGTGCCAGAATGCACCTTTTAGGAGACATGTTAGTACCCTTAATGGTTCAATCCTGCTCCTTTAGGGGTGCAAACCGATGCAATAGCAGCACCTTAAGGGGTTCAATCCTGCACCCTTTAAAAGGTGCAATCCTGCACCCATCATCGAGGAATACTCGTGACATTTGCTCGTACACATATACATATTAAACATGCATGATGTTTCTTGGTTAGTAATCATATAATCACTATATATATTGCTAAAACGTGAAGGTAATTGTAACATGATCAGACAAAATAATCTATTGGTTAATGATTGCCGAAGGAAAATATAAATCACAAAATTGATGTGCATTGTCATAATTTGCTTAACAAATAATATGATAAATGTATTTTTATGTGAACACGTGGAAAGTAATCATGAATATGCATGCAATATGCAAACTTTTATTTTGCACCTTTTTGGGTTGTTAGGGTTCATTTTTGTGGAAAGGGTGCAAAATTTTATATTGCACCCTTTTTTGAACCCCTTTTCCTTCAATAGGGTTCATTTTTATGTAAAGGGTGCAAACTCATATTTTGCACCCTTTTTTGCACCTTTTTTCTTAGAGTGTATAGCGTACCCAACTGTAATGGTATTATTATTCCACAGCTATATTTTTTAACCCAAGCCAAATGTAACATGCTCATTATTTAGATAATCTAATTTAATCAGTTAAAATCATGTCACTGTGAATTAAAGGGGTTGTATGTGCATTTCGATTGATTAAAATAACATTAACGGAACGTTTGGGGGACTAAAAGTAAATGATAGCATAATCAAAGTTGCCCCCAAAATGGCACCTGTATATACCACAAAGAATGGAGAATATGAAAGTGTGCATACATGTTGGTGGCACAATATGCCTTTACTATCACATGATATCACCACCGATAATTCAAAATTCTCTTGAGAGGTGAACATTCCTTTTAAAAAGGTTAGGTTTTCGATATAACAAATAACGTATTTAGGCAAGTGACATGTCTTTCATTTTCGAAAATTGTAATCCTGATTCAGTTGTTCCATCATCCCTCCCAATTTCTATGAAAGGTATCAACATAAGAATGAAAATACATGTAGGAAAAAGTCAAGTTTACGTTTACTCTCCTGGTAGTGTCGGTAATTCATTAAAATAATAAACTCATTCTGATACCATTATAATATTTGTATTAGACTGCTGTTTGTGACAAATTTTAAGTACGACACTCCAAGGCATTGGTGATCCTATACACCTATCATAAGTTTATTGTATGATTTATCACTTTGCCTTCCTGCAAAGTCAGACGAACCGGTGGATGAAGCACGCCTCCGACCGTCGTGTGGTCTAACCATCTTAGAGTAACATCCCACACCTTCGGCACATGCCAGCGAGCTAGTAGTAGATAGCGCGGGCGGACATTCGACGAACTCGTAGGGCGATGGCAATTGTTGCCGCAGCGAACCTGCTCTGAGTCTGCCGAGATCTTCTTGAGACGTGTTACTGGGTCCATCAAGTAACATGCGGTGTCGCTCTAGAGTTTTAGGAGACCATATCCCACCACTTTGCATACCAACGCTACATGACTTTTCAAGAACTGGTCTGCCCTTTCTTGTGGGTGGTGGCTTCATGGCTACTTTGTGTTTGTACTTGTTATCCTTCTCACTTGTATTCCCGAAAGATGGGCCATCCTTATCAGGCGACACCGCGCAAGTATTTTCGTTTTCGTCACAAGACGAAAACACTTTATTCTTATCTGTCACAATCGGCAATACCTGTCTCCATCCCTTGTTGGCGTCACGTTTCTTCTCACGACTCGGAGCAACAGGCTCCCTGTCCTGGAAACTCTCCTCTTCACACACTGGTGAATGCTCTAGACCGAAATAAAAGGGTTCTGGTTCATCAAGCTGCTTCTGAATAGTCTTTGACAGATTCTTCTTTGGTCGACTCTCTCGAAGCCGAACACTGGGCCGCTTCTTGGTGTCATTGGCATCTACAATCTCAGTCACGACATACGCCACATGGTTCTTACAAGGTGATCCATTTGAACCAGGGGTAGTCAGAGTAGACTCTGGTTCTGACTTTCCAGTTGGTGTTCTTGCCTTTCTTGACGCCCTTTTCCCTCCTACACAACGAGTTACTCGTTTGTGCTCGCGGTCGAATGGACTTCACGGTCTGATTCTGATGTTCTGGAATTTTGTTCATGTTGCGAATATCCAACGTGCAACTTTTTTCAAATACCTTTTTGAGGGGTAATGCCAGACTGTTCTTGAGATCGGCTACTGAAGGGGAGATTAACACGTGATCAGCTGTAGCGGAATCGTTGGTATAACTCTCTAAGGAATTCGTGTTTGATGTTTGATATGATAATGGTTTGTGTGGCGGCACAGGCCGTATACACGGACCAGGATTTACGACATCATCATATTCATCTGAAAAGACTGCAGCTATTTCTTGAACTTCATCAAGGTCATCTAGAAACAAAAAATAAAACAAATCAGTTATTAAGGCTTCAAAATACTTAATTGTTAATAAGATAAATTATTTATTTTAACTGCAACTCTGTCTCTACACAGAGAAGAGTTCATGGATGGATGATTTATTCCTTGATCAATAATCTACTAATTACGGACTAAAATGTTATTCTTATATAAAAAAATAATCATCCTAATCATATTATTTATAGGTTATATATTGCTTTCATTGGAAACAGATGATCAAAAGTATATTTAATCATTGCCCAATAAATCATCGTATTTTATGTCCCTCTCCTTCATGTACATTAAATTGTGTTTACGTGTTTAAGACAATTTTAATAGATTTTATAATCGCTTACCTTCACCATTCCCTTTTCCTTTTGAGAAAATCTCATCGACAGGCCTGCAACAAAATAATATTCAGAAAAAAATATAATCAGTTACACTAATTACAAAGAAGTGCTTAAGAATGAGAACAATTACTATAGATAAGGGTATTAACTATTAACTAATATAATCATATAGTGATGGCAATGCTCATATTGTCGATAAAAATGACGTAAATTTCATATTTGTCCGTTTGGAGCCAGGAGGGAGTTAGCTATGTGTAATATGAAGTGAGTAACATCCTTCCTGCTCTCAACTGTTGTACGAGACAATACCTGCATGGAAAACTGTATTTTCATGTTAGAGATAAGATTGTATTGAGCTGTATGCTCTGAGAGAGACTTTTAAAGAGTTTGGTAATTAGCTCGTTCTTCTGGTCACCATATTTAGTAGTTAGGTGATTTAGAAATGGCTTTCTTAATCATGTGTCATTGGTTGAGCTCGTGGTATTACAATTTCTTCACGAATGTAGCGGAACATTCAATTGCACTATAAATATATGTGGCCAGATTCAGTGATAAGAACTTTAAATACCTTGTATTCTGCTGTATGCTCTGGGAGAGTCTTTTGTATAGTTTGGCCATAACTATTGTCTGGATGATACAGAACGTGAGCGAGATAACACCTAGAACTACACCAATCGCACCCAATACCGGATCTGAAAGGATGGAGAAAAGGAGGACTCTTAAAAACCAAGAGAATTAATGTAATGATATAAGAATGAAGTACAACACTGGTCATACGAAATAGGATAGCATAACGTAGATTAAAGTCTCATTTAATGTGTCCACATACAATTCGTTGATTACCTATTGTCTGCTAGTTCCTGTATAAAGGCTATTTAAATAAGACAATACAGGAGTCAACGGTTAAGGAATCTGAACAGAATCCTATCAGTTGCTGTTCATACAATATAATTATATCGAAATCACAACCTGCAGATCGCTAAAGAGTTCTCATAATTTTGTTTAAATGAAACCCTATGACTACAATGAGTTCGATATATTAATTGTGAAGTGTTAGTGAGCATCTTTGATTGTTTGTAGTAAAGTTTAATTATAAACATAATGATTGGATAATTCCTTTGGGGTACTTGTCACGCATATGAACAATGGAAACTAAATAATATGGTCGTATTGTAATTTTCTAATTTCCTTGAAGAAACTGATGCCGTTGCTTTCTGGATGCTCGAGGTATCTATATTAGCTTGCTTTAAAGAACTAAGATGCCCTATATGGTGCTGAAAACTTTCAATGAACAACTTTCTACCAAGTACTCTTTAGGTACACCTGAGAGGAAAGTGGCAAATGTAGATGTCTTGCCGAAGGACAAGTATTATGATTTTTTTTTAATCGAAAAAATTGATACCGTAATAATAAGGGGGCTTCGTGGTAAAAACAAGGGTCAATATCTTCCCTCAAACGTACTTTTTAAGTGGATCTAAGAGTTATACATTTTGTAAAATGCAGCATGTTCTTTGAAATGTATATCACCTATGTCATTGGAATCAATTAGTCATTTGGTACATTATGTCACCAGGGAAATACACAAGGAAAAAAATGATACTATTATGTGAAATTGAAATTTTGTAACATTTGTAAGCTGTAAATTTGAGAAAGTAGAGAAGGTAATTTGGAACAATAATCGATTCAAACAAACCTATTCTTCCAAATTATTACACATTTTAAAAACTAGTCCTGATGCAAATACAATAATTCACCAATGTAGTGTCGCTCGCGTTATACACCAAGATGACATCTTGTGAGCCTGTATTTAGATATTGTCGTACTACTTTCCAATGGACACTAGTATATTCCGAATATATTAACAATAACAAATGCCCGTTATACTATCTTTATAGTTAGAGCGCAATTCACAAGCAAGAAAAGACGATGAATTATACAAAACCTAGACATTCGGCTGATTTGTCTTCGTTGTCTATAAACTTCCGATTGGCCATCAGAAGGTTCATCCGAAACTTCCGATCTAGTAAACTTTGGGTCATCATAATGGATATGATTTGTTTGATTATTATTTTGTATAATAGTTGTGGATATATATGATCGAATTTGTTTTGTAAATAAAGAACCACATGGAAGGGTGACAAACATAGGGTCTCCAGGAAATTTGGTCTCCTTCCGACTAGTTCTCGTAATTCAGAAGTCCAGAATTTAAATATGTGGAACAAAGCCCTTTTTAAAGTGAAATTTGGTCCTGTAGTACTTCCGAAAGTTCTCTGAATTCAAAACTGGAACCTTTGAGATATAGTACACCTTGAATTTCATGGAAATTTGTTCCTGTAATACTTATGTCTAGGACTCAGAGGGTCTAGAAGCTCAACCCTCGGTCAACTATGCAAGTCTCTATTTAGCTAATGCTCCTGCAGATAATGCCAGAAGTTTCTGTATTTGGCTCTTCTAAGTTTATATGAAAGATTTCATTTAGATTTCATAATGTATTTCATGGTTTGTTTCATCTAGAGTTTTTAAAATCTTCCATTCTTTTCCATTTCTCCTCGTAATATTACTAGTAATAATGATACTAATAACATTATAATAATATAATAATAATATAATAATAAAAATAACAATAATAATAATGATAATGAATAAATAATAACAATAATATCATAATGATAATAATGATAATGAAAAAAAACAATAATATCATATAATGACAATGATAATAATACAACAACAACAATGATACGCTCTAGCGCTGTCGCAATTATGTCATATGGGTTATGTTTCGAAGAATACGATGCAATATTGTTGTTATTTTTCCATCGTATTCCAACGAATATGCATACAGGAAGGAAGTCTAGAACACTATATGAAGTACTAGAGGTGTGATTTTCACTTTCGATAAGAACAAAGGACATCATCAATCTTCTAGTAGAGAATAGTCATATTGTGTATTAGGAGCTAGACACCTCCACCTCTCACAAAATAAAAGAGAGCTTAATGAGATGGGAAAGAAGAAGATCATAAGATTGGGAGGAGGTGTAATGTATCAATGAGAAAACGATAGTTGGCGGAGGTAACTGAAACAGAAAATGACAAAACTCTTTCCATACCACAGTCACACCAACAAAACAAACTCCAGATCGACCGAACAATGGACAAATTAATACATTTATAATACCTCATTGACAAATCAGTCAGTCTGGAATCGATATGGAGTCGGTATATGTCGGTGTGACTGCGGTGGAAACCGACCCCAAACCGAATGGTCCTAGGCCATTTGGGTAAATGTAATTGTTCATTCGGTCTATTGTCCGTCTATTTAGTGTAACTAGGGTATAAGCTACATGTTTGAATGCTGCGGTATCAGAATCAATAGCTTTCGACCCAACCATAAGACATTTATGACGTCGTTCCTACGCCAAACTATTAGAAACACTAAGGGGGCGATCCCCGCGCGCCCATCCCTCTCCCAAGCAGTCTCCTCGCTTTGGCCTGTCAGCTTCAAGTTTCAACTCTCATATTTCCAAGAGCTTTGGTTCAAGTTGTTTCCTGGTTTGCAATTATACAGTAATTTATAGCTTCGATCATCAAGCTGATGCTCATTTAACCCGAGAGCTGCCCATTTGTTTTCTCTGTACAGGCCGCAGAAGTGCATCGGGTTAAGTTATTAATAGACTAACGTCATCTTACTGGTTTGTACTATATGGTTATAGCTTTAGCAAATTGCATAAACAGTAAACCAAAACATTTCAATAGCTGTATAAAGTGTGTAAAGTAAAATATCCAACCCTAAACCCAAGTAATTTGTTTTAGTTCGAAACTAGATTTCTTACATTATATTCATTGTTACAGTCGTCCCGTGGCGTATGAAGGCCTCCGCTTCAAGGGGGAAGGGGGGGGGGGGGGGGGTGAGAGGGGTGTGGACGATTTCTACCATTCAGAGAGAACATCCTATTTTATGGGCCCTGGTGCACATATGGGAAAGAGTAGAGCGATTTGAGGCCTCGCATAAACTGGTAAACTTGTAAGGGGTGGGTTGAAACTCTGAAAATCCACTACAGAAGGAAATGTGATGTCTGCGATTGAGTCGAATTTCTTATCCAACGAATTTATCTTCTATCCATGCATTATCTTCTTATTGATCTATATACATAATAATTAATATCTGTATCTTTGACAGTGTTTCACGCTGATTAATTCAAATTTCATTATCATTGATAATTTAGGTGTATCCGTTTCATTCTAATCTCGTCTTCTTCCCGCATGGAGACCGTTACACCATTGACAATATTTCCCTCAAACGGCCTTTGATCTTGCGGGCACCCTTTGCCTTATCGTGGTATGGAACTTCATTCTTCAGCAGGTACAGGGGGGTTCTGCCCCCCCCTGCCTCCTTTTCTTACTTGTTTTCCTTTGGCTTTTCGTCATGATTACAAGTTAAGCAGGTTATGAGAGGTGTCTGATGACCATAACATTATCAAAAGTATCTTTCTTTCCAATAAAATATCGAAAAACATGGATTATATAGCACGTTGATGAGAAAACATCTGATTGGCATTGAAATATTTAAAATTCGATTATCATTATTGGTTGAAAATCTATCCGGTAAACAGTTAGGATTCCCTCTCCCTTCAACTGTGTTTGTGCCCTGTCCACAGTTTCGTAAGGAAATATTTTTTTTTGTTCACTTTTTCTCTTTAAAAAGGTCTGACAATCCATTGTGCGTGCAACAAGAAAACTAATGTCCGACCCGACAGTATTATTCTTATGACTATTTGCCACACTAAACCCGAGAGAGAAATGGGGACCTGGTAGGATGACGTGAGCCTTTGTAATGGTTATCGCCGTGTACTCCTTCACGATGGCAATGGTAAGAATACTTACCAGGGAATGGAGATGGTGCACATATTGTGTTCGTGAATGAATCTTACCAGGGTAATAATGGTTGAATGGTTGATTGATTCACTGATATATTCGACAAGTTTAAGTTCATTTACTTTTCTGAATACATGATAGACAGAGATGAAAAAAGATGGAAAGAGAGATAAAGAGAAAGAGAGAGAGAGAGAAAGAGAGTGAGAAGAAGAAAAGAAGCAGAAAGGAAGAAGAAGGGTGAAAAAAGGGGGAAAGTAGAAGAAGAAGAAATAATGCATTCACTGGATAGCCCATGGGATCTTATCCCGATATTCGTAAAGCGTTAGAGACGTTGTCAAGCACTATATAAATCCACATTCATTTTACTTGTTATTAATGGATGTAAAAAAATTATATAAAACAAAGTACACTGTTATCCATTACTCATCATTATTATGTTTAGACATGCGGAGGACGCATGTGTCGACGCAATAATATTGTTGTTGAAACACTTCCTGGTTATGAAATGAATAGGGGATTACCATATACATGATTATGATTGAGTCGTGTCGTTATACATTTTGGTTAGAAAACCACAACGTTGAGATAACGAATCACTTTTACAGCATGCACTCATTTCCCCGGGTATTTTTTAATTCTTGCAATTAGCCATCTAGATCTCTTTTTCATGTTTAAAAGTGTTGTGTTTTTTTTGCTCTAAATTTGTTTTCCCGTTTTCAGGTGGGGGGAACGTGTGTTTAAGTAAATTTGAAGTTTGCTTACATTGTAGCTGTAGAAACTAGAAGTTTTGCAGATTGTTTTTTTTTTGTTACTATTATTCAGAGACATATGAATTGGATGGATAGTGGCAATATGTTAGTATGACGATAATAAATGTTAGACTTACAAAGATATACACGATCCTTATTCAATACACTTTAAAACCAAACAAACGTTGTTACTGCTAACATGATATAAGTTTCCCTCGTTAATTCAAAGTAATCTATTCTGACTACATAATTAAAAAATCCAAGAATAATCCACTGGTTTACTAAATTTGAATTAAAACTTTAAAGAGTATAATGAAATGGTACTCTTCTTAATATTCATTGTTATCTTGGTAGGTCATTCCTTTTCCCGATTTGGATATGTTTTTTTAAATATCCGAATTGTAGAGCGTATATCTGGGGTAAATATTACTACCAAGCAATGGCGCATCCATTATACAATGGTTCCTGTGCCCCCTTGCTTGAAGAACCAGAAAAACAATGCCCCCACCCCCACTAAATATTGGTGGTTAAAGGGGGGCGGATGGGAGGGGGGACGTCCTCGGCCCATAGTTGTCATTATCTTGATATCATCAGCGCAATTTATGGCTTGCACTTCATTTTCAATACCAAAAATGACCAATACATCTTTGCTTTGCTGACAACACCCTAGAGTAATACTAATTAACATCGAGATTTATTACCATCTTATTGCAATACTTGATATAACTCACCACTCATCTTGTATCCAATACGATATCAATCCGACACAGCAGGAATGGGCTCTAGAGATTGATAAAGTTATGTCCTTCTCGTTATAGCTTTAGGTTTCTATGTGAGGTTTTGATAGGTAAGCGTTTGTTTTTTAACACCAACACAACCAGATAGATCTTGAACTTACATCCGGGGCTGTGGTTTCCATTATTAAAGAGTTATCTACGCATGGGAAACTGGTTTCCTGTAGTGACAGACCGAGTGTGGTAGACACTTCTTCTCTATTTCAACTACTCTCTATTTTGTTTTGTTCGTATTAACCATTTGGATGCGGTAAATTACACGAGATGATAAATATAATTGTTATGTAATACCAATAAACATACACAATATTTAAAGTGTGGTAAAGGGATTGCCGGCTGAACCACAAGACTATTGAAAATAGGCCATCTACTGATTAAAGGAACCAAAACCTTTATACTAAGTTACTTTTATTGTAAAGTTTAAGATATTTGAAAAATATCAGTGAAAATTTGAACAAAATCGGGCAAGGAATAATGAAGTAAGAGCTTTTTGAAATTACTAGTCACTAGAGGGCGGTATTCAATTTGATGACATCATCTGTGGACAACTCTCCATGCCTTTTGTACATCAAATTTCATGTTTTTCCTTCTTTCTTGTGATTGAGATAATGTACTCCCCTAATAGCAAGATATAGAATGCATAATGATATTCTACTTCACATGTTATGAAGTCGGATCTAGAACACAAATAAATAAGAAGAAAACAACAAAATTGTGAAATTTTATGTACAAAAGGCATGGAGAGTTGTTCACAGATGATGTCATCAAATTGAATACCGCCCTCTAGTGACTAGTCATTTCAAAAAGCTCTAACTTTCTTATTCCTTGCCCGATTGTGTTCAAATTTTCACTGATTTTATTCAAATCTTTTAAACTTTACAATAAAAGTAACTTAGTATGAGGTTTTGGTTTCCTTTAAGTCATTCAGATTTGTTTTAATGTATAGTTAGTTGATATCCGGTTGTCATCGTTAAAATAGGTACAATACAATAATCAATTCGTGTGTATTACATAGCATCGGCAATAAATGTATAGATAGGGGTACTTGAGATTATAAGTGATCATCTCGTTAGATATCTTTACATCTATTCTATAACAATTTTAATGCATAGAAATATAAGTCTCAGTTCACTAACTCATCAGTTGTCATCGTTAAAATAGTTACAATACAATAATCAATTCGTGTGTATTACATAGCATCGGCAATAAATGTATAGATAGGGGTACTTGAGATTATAAGTGATCATCTCGCTAGATATCTTTACATCTATTCTATAACAATTTTAATGCATAGAAATATAATCTCAGTTCACTAACTCATCAGTTGTGCATGAAATGATAGAAAGGTTCTACAAAAATAATCAATTTATCTAACCAAAATGACTCTAAGTGCTGTTTGTTTAACTGTTTCGTCTATACATGTATTTGGGTGAAATAAAACGACTATTTTTTTTATCGAGGTCATCTCACGAGTAAGACGTCGTCTCTTCATGACAGTTATGAGGAAAACAATGAACATTTTTCCGGTATTAAAGGCCCACGCTTTCATATTTAGCCGAGTTTGGTTTTCAACAACACCTCTATATTCTGCGAATTCAGGAAACAAATCTTACTCATTACATGTATGTAGGCTTTATATCACGAGGAAATGTGAGAGAGGGAGAGAGAGGGAAAAGACAGGAGAAAAGGGAAAAAAAGTATATACAAAACAGCGGTGAGGGAGCAAGATAGAGATTGTGATTTATAGATAGAAATATTTAATGTGTACTAGAAAGAGAGGGTAAAAATGGAGATGTGAGCAAGGTGGTTATAATTATTATATGATGAGAGATATTA